TCTTTCCCTTTCTCTCTCTCTCTCTCTATTTTCTTCTTCTTCCAAACTGTAGATAAAGACTTGGAAGAGTGATTGCTAGTTTCACAGCAGAAAAAGAAAATGCAAATTGTGATTCTATCTATCTTCATGAAAAGTACATAAAGCAAATCAATACAAGTGAAATAAGTGGAAAGTTTTCATGAGAAACAAATAAAAAAAAATACAAAGTTAGTCTAAATAGTTGCTTCTTACAGTAACTAGTTTTTCACACCCAAGTTTTCAAAGGGATCCATCACAAGAATCCGGCATAAACTTGCAATTAACTTTTGTAAGTGTACATGCAAAGGGGTGTGTCAAATACAGTGATCTACACACAATGTACAACAATCTTACAAAATAAACTGATTCTCGAGTCTCTACACATTTGATGAAAGGATTTCAGTAGATTCAAATCATGAACAATGTTCATGCCAATTTCCTTATCCTTCACTTCCTCTCGCAGCATGTGCTTAGAGCTTCTATTCATCACAGATATAGAGCATTAAAGACCTGCTGCTTGAACTGTGGATTTGGCTAGGTTAAGAGTTACATGTACCGGTAGGCACATGTTGGGTCCAGACTTGAAACTGGAAATTTAGATAGTTATTAAGAACTGATCAGAGAGCAATCATTGTGACTGCATGTGTGGCATACTATTGGCAAATTATCACAACAAAGATAAGAAAAATTGGAAAAAGCATGAAAAGCCATCACAGTGTGATATGACTGTGAGGAGATAATGGAAAAAGAACAAAACAAAATACTTTCTTTACCATTTACCTTTGCACAGCAAGTTAATATTCTTTAAATTTTTTTGTAGAAGGAATTATGCTTCCTGAAACAGCATAATGATTTAATGGGGTATTCAGTGAAACTAGTATTTACAGAAAGTATCAACATTCTCACCTCTGTTCTTAATAACCTTAGTAGTAAGCACATTTCCTGTCAACTATGCCTTTAATAAAAAACAATGAGTAACAGATCTACAAACCTTTTAATGACTAATAGTAATTGCACTGTCATTTGTTTTATTATGAACATTGCATCTAGCCTTTGTATGAGACCATTTTTTAATCAAAACATGTAAATCTTAAATGCCTGCTAGAACTACATCGTACTACATCACTCTATAATTTTCATTCACAATTGACCTACCTACCAGTAATGTGTATGTTTCAAGCTTTATATCAATGTATAAAATAGCCTTTTTATAAATAATATCAATGTGCAGTGTACACACACCCTGAGCTATTAAGTCTGAAATGTGGTACTTTGTATATGTTTCTGTTTCTATCATGTAGATCATGTGTCTTTCAGAAATTAAAATTCACAGAGTTATTAAACTGATTGCACTATCTTTTGTTATTTTTACAAATTGAAGAGATGATTGGCAAGTTGGATTGTACACAGTACTTTAAAGATGCAGAGGTGATGATACATTGTAGAAACAGATTTCACCATTGACTGTGTACTTTCTTTCCAAACTTGCTTATAATGATGTTGTATATTATAAATGATGTTTCCTTGTACAATTTGAGGGGTCAGTGACACAAAGACGTAACTCCATTTTGAGAAAAAGTGGTTTAAGTATGTGTCACTGAGCACTTGGGCCTTAAGGAGTTAAGTCTATGTTTCACTAGCCATTGACTTCAATGGGGTGTTGGGTGGAGTTAAGTCTTTGTGTTTCCTGGAAAGCCCACATTTTTCTGAACATTTTATTATCAAATATGCATTTCGACAAAATATGGAGTTATGTCTTTGTGTCACTGAACCCTCAAATTCTTCCTCTCATTGAAGATCAATGTTAAACCATGTAGCGTGTGAATGGGCTTGTCTGGTCAATGATTGGACGGAGCTCCCCCGTGATGTGATAGCATGGGTTTGAAGAATGAACAGATCTAACAAGACCTTGACTAGTAATACCATCAGCCGACACATATCCTATTGTGTTAAAACCTATTACTCCATGTAAACATGAATTTCTACAGTGATACATGTATATTGAACTTTCAAGTGATGTTGACTATCTTGCTTGTACTACAGTCAAACCTGTCTATAGCAATTGCCAAGGGAAACATAAAAGTGGTCTTTGTAGACAGGTGGTCGCTAAAGCAGGTTTGATTGTATTTGGAAAAGGTTTAAAGCAAAGAACAAGACTGTGCAGCCTGATCTACATGTAGAATGATGTCCATAGCACATGCAGGATGAGCAATACAGCATAGCAGAATTGAGCAGGATAATGAAACAGGTGAAGTCAAGGACCCTTCCTTAATCTGCGGTTTGTCATTGAATAATTTCAGAGTCACCTTCCAGCAGATCAACACAATCTACAAATTATGCCTAAATGTACTCAATTACAGCCAGATTGTATTTTTAATTCATCAAGGTCTAACAGACAGCACTCATCAAATATTGACAAAGCTACATGTACTAACCATATACCGCATGTCATAGCCTGGTCAAATCACAGAATTGTAAAAGACACTTTCAAACATACACTAATATGGTTTGACTACAACTATAGACTTTCCTTATTATTTCTAACTCACTGTCTAATGTATATTATTGATGCCGTAATTTATGGCTAATTGAGAAATGAGGTACTTTCCAATTAAGAAAGTAATATCATAATTGTATCATTCCTTTCATACACTTTCGCAGATGCATAAAAACTTCATCTTCAAGTTCAATGTCATGTCAAGAGAACCTTTAGTTTTACATTGTACACTGTACATGTATGTTGATTAATTAATTACTATATCAACAGATGAATAAAATATACTTACAAAGGTAAACATTTTCTTTAATCTTGTTGCGCAGTTTTCTTCGGTATCAATACCATCATTTATCAATTTTAACACAGATCCCATGGTAAATATTACTGGTGAAGAATAGTCAAAGGTATTGCTAGAGTGAGATGAGTCTAACAGCTCAATGAACATACATGTACATGTACATGTAATGCTATGTCACTACAACACCATCAGAGTTTAAATATACAGCGTAATCTACATGTGACCCTGATATTTCCATAAATGGACAAATACAATCTAGGTCGATGATTGTATTTCTTTCCCTTGAAAGTGACATTCAGAAGAAGGAAATCAGTTGGCATTAATTGTCTCAATGTCCAAGCTTTATGAGATCATAATCACCATGACTCACACACTTCCTGCCTTTTATAGGGATCCTTGTGAAATATCATTATAATCTAATGTGAAAGTGTTATGGTGTACTCCCCCTCCCTCTATCAGACTACCACACTGAATATTAAATATAGGCATGATTCACAGACAAGTTCGGTATGTAAGTGTGTACATATGTTATGGGACTCATGTAACATGCTTTGGCATTGTTACATGTACGTGAATACTTACACAAGCAATTTCTTAGTTTAATCTGAATCATTTGTAGGCCCTGTGGAAAAGTGGTTTGATCCTCTGGACCAGATATTGTACAAACTGGAGTTCATGGGGGGGGGGGGGGGGGGGGATGAACGGATCATTAATGTCGTGGGGATATGTCGTCAGACTGTGGATCACATGATTCGCAGTAAGAGTCCTGAAGTGGTACTAATGTCCTTTGGTAAGAAATTAATCTACATTTGCCACTATCCACCCAGGTGTTAAATGGGAACGGTTGAGGTGAGGTATTCTTTGAATGCTTTGAGTACCAAACGGTACCCTAGCAGAACTGGGTAATATTGGAGTGCCTTCTTGAGCACCTCCGTGGTGAATATTATATGTGCGCTAATACAGAGAGAGGGGAGTAGCAGTACACAGACAGAACTACAACATCCATGGTGATGATACCCAAAGACAACCACTACTTTTGTTCTTTCTTCAAACCAAGAGATGCCTAGTAAGCAGATTTAACCAAAGCCAGAGAAATCAACCTCAACATAGCTTGAAATTTGACAAACATAGCTAGAAAGTTTTCTCTTCTATTGTACTTTCTGTGGAATTGCACTTTTTTGTGTAAACTGACAAAACTACCAATGATAGTGATCTTTGTATAATTAGTCACACAACATGCATGCCTGTGTATCTCCCTCAGGACTGTACATGTATGTCAGCTCAGAGAGGGATTGGCAACAAACTTTGACTTTCTTAGACTACAGAGGGCGCTACATACAATTATCAGTTTTTCCCCTTCAATTATACATGCATGTTTACATATATACACCTGTAATATCAGATTCATAAACATGTACTTCACAGCAGTTTCCTGATATGAAGATTTATCACATTTCCTTTTGAATTTGTTCATCTTGATGAAAAAAAGTTTGTTTCAAAAACTTTACTAAGCAACTTAGAAAATGTCTGCAGCACAAGACTGATCGGCGAGGGATTCACTCTCACTTCCATTTCATAGCAGTTTTGTTTTTGTATTTGAAATTGTAATTTACAAGCATCTGAAAATGACAAGTACAGTATGTAGAAGATCAAAGGCACTAATGGAATCATGTATACAAAATGACTATGTAAACAAAAGAAGAAGCAATTTCAAAACCACACTCTAAACCGATATTACAAGAAATACTAAACTTCAAAGTTGAGTGATTTCTATATAACAAATTTGTTCTATTTCATGTACAATAACTCTGCTGTTGGTCATTTATACCTGTAATCAGGGTGCTCTGGATACGAATTAAGTGTTCTATTTGAACGGTAGACCTACCTCATTGCCTAGTTCCTTGAAGGTTGGGTTGGGATCTTCCATAACCCTGATGAAATAATATGAGCACTCTTTCTCTTGTTCAGTGCTAACACTCTTATTATCTAGTATCCATGATGTGAATAAGGTTCTGTATGAGACTGGACTTACCTTATTGCCTAGTTCCTTGAAGGTTGGGTTGAGATCCTTCATCAGATCATAACCCTGATGAAATAATGTGAGCACTCTTTCTCTTGTTCAGTGCTAACACTCTTATTATCTAGTATCCATGATGTGAATAAGGTTCTGAATGAGAATGGACTTACCTTATTGCCTAGTTCCTTGAAGGTTGGGTTGAGATCCTTCATCAGATCATAACCCTGATGGAAGAATGTGAACTGGGCATGCATGAAGGACAGCAACTGTACAGGGAAGGAATGGGAAAACATGAGGTGTGTACAGATCAGTTCACATTATTCGTAAGGATACTATCAGTCTGCATTTTAAACATAATAGATGTCTTTTAAGAGCGAAAATAACATCAACTCAATGCCGATTTGAATTCTGGTTTTCAGCAGATAATGAAACGTGTGAACAGTCTGGATGTTATGACTACAAGCATGTACATGTATATAACTGACCTGTGTGAAGTGTTGGGTACTAAATAACTTCACAATCATTTGGAATATCTGTTTTTACTTTAGAATGATAACTGGATATTCTTCTTGAAGTAATTGCAATTCATTTATAAGTAAATGATAAAGATACACAGAGAATTGAATTCCTCTCCTATTCATTTAGATTTTTAATAATTGTTTTTTTTTCTCAGTTTTTAAAACAAAACTGGTCAATACTTACAGTGTTTAGGACTTCATGTCTCTCTTTAGACTGGACAATATTGATCTGAAAGATAAAATACAAATTTAATATTGCTTGTCACAATTTGTTTTTTACACTGACAACACAAATTAAAGAACAACAACTGCATCGCCATCACTTTTTTCCATCATTATCATTAATATTATTACTATATATATATATATATATATATATATATATATATATATATATATATATATATATAAATGTATTAATACTATATTTATCATTATTGAGCATTATGACACAAGCATATATACAAGTACCAGCCTCCTTTTGGGCAAGTTGCAAAATAGAAAAACATCATCAGTGTTGGTTTGCATACTGATATCTCAATAAAACGTGTGTCAATAATATTACCAATTAAGTCCAATAGGATGTCCACTAAGTTTAATTTCAAGTGGTTTCTTAGAGTGACTTCCTGTTTTTAACATCGCATACCTGAAACACGTAATCGAGGGCGGTGTGTCCGAAGGCTGAGCGGGTGGCTGTCAGGACGTTAAGAGTTTCTTCTGATTCCAATGGTTTAGTTCGGACGGTCTGTGCATTCTTATGTAAGGCATTGTCATAGTCATCACTGATTCGGTAGAACAAACGCTTGGCTTCCTTCACCTTCTTCAGGTCTCTACAAAAGAATTTTTTAATATTTTTAATTTTGATGCTTTTTGTTATGTTTTTCCTGGTATAAGTTTTGATATTTTCTTACAATGTATAATATGTTATGTGTATACTTGTTAAGGGGTCATGTTCATTTATATGTTATTGATTTGTAATTGTTTTTAAAGTGGAAATAAATTGAATTGAATTGAATCAGGACAGAGACCGAGGTCAAATCAATCTGAGATGAAGTCAAAGAAATACCAGTCCATACTGTTGAGACAGACAGCTTCACTAACTTAGCTTGGCTCAAAACTTAAAGCCCCACTGCACTACTTATAGCTACTTGCGCCCTCTATACAGCAAACAATGCCTAAGCCGTACCTGTTGATCCCCCATGATACCCTAATATGTTAATTGAGAGCTAAGTTGATGAGATAACCCCCTGTCAGTGACCTTGCAGGGAGGTCTAATCCCTGTGGCCAAACTAGTGCAGACTGGCTTTAAACCAATACTGCCCACAATGAATGTTACAATTTGCAATGTACAATAGAAGGTTCCTATTGTTAATCTCTCATAATCAGTGCAAAGTTTCCCCAGTTTAAATCTTTATTGCAATATGTTAGAACATACGTAAAATAATTTCATTCAAAAAGGTATTTTTTGTTTTTTAAACCATAAAGATCCTAATGACTTCTCCATTAAAAAGTTATACTTATACATGCACATATGCCTTAAGACGTTAGTTATATCCTTGTACAAGACAGGTCAACATTTTTTTTTAAAAGGACAATAAATGAATAAATCGTAAGAAACAAACATGTAAAGGGAAATAAACAGTGATCTCACCCTTTAATGAAAGCACTCAGACTTTTAGAGACTCCTCTTACTGCCTGGTCCTCAAGTATCTAAAAGAAAAGAAAGTATAATCCATTGATCAAAATCAATGTCTTCCAACTAGTTTGTACACAGATCACAACAACACACTTAAATGTCTCATAAAAATACTTGAACATGTAGTTCTGGTAGAAGAAGATATATTGGAATGAATAACATGTCTTCATCACAATATATTTGCCAGATACTCCATCATTACTTTCTGATGTATTTCTGAACAGACAGAGGTTATCAATCATCTGCTACCTACATGGAAGCACATCACACGGCATCCTCATTGAAGTTCAGAGAAATCCCTGCATCACACAGCTTTAACAAGTTTCATTTGTCTGATGAGGCACATCAATTATTATTCATCATTCAATTGTTTTATAATGCATATATATGAGAAAGGAAAAGTTTCACAGAAGATTACCAGTAATGTATTTCTTGCCAATTATCAATATTAATCAACAAAATCTGATGAAAATGATGGGGGGTAAACTACAACTATATGGGCTTTACATATTTATGGGCTAAGCTAAGAGCTATAAACTTGAAAGGTTTTTGTGTCATTCAAATGTCTTTTGTAGGTGATGAGAAGCAAGAAGGGGAGGCAAGTACGGAAATCATTTGATTTCTTGTTATAAGAAGATGTACAGTACTAACTACCACTAAAAAAAATTCTTACTGAAATAACGATTAAACTCACCAATTAAAACATAACTACATTTAAATGTACCTGTAAGTTTTCTTAAAACTTTCACAATTTTTTTTTTTTTTTCTTCCTCTTCTTGGCAGAAGTGAAAAAGTAATATTTTCACAAATAGGCCAGCATATTGAATAGTACAGTACCTTTAAGAAGTACTGTAAGAGTGATTGAGATACATTGAACAAGCTTCACTTTCTGTTCCTGGTTTACAACACGTCAGTCGCCATGGTATAAAGTACTCCCTTAAATTAACATAAATTTCTGCAATTACATGTCTTGTATGTATCTTTTATTTATGTTTACAGTATACATGTACATGTAGGTACTTTCTAAAATAAAACAAAGATTTAAAAAACTTTCAAATCTCTAAGGATGTACAGGGATTGTACAAGTCTAATGAGTTTGTCTACTACCCAATTGGTCTATACCCATATGGTCTACACCCAGCCTGTCTAACATCCACATGGTCCAACAATTATTTTGTCTACCGTATTTGCCGGCGTAAAGGCCGCAGTATTTTTGGAAGAGAAAATATCAAAAAGTCGGGGTGCGGCCTATGCGGCGAAAGAGTAAAAAAAAAAAAAAAAAGTAAGTCAAAACCAGCACGAATGTTGACATATGGGACTATAAACGGTACAATAACTATACCACTATGGTACAGGACATTTCCACACATCTTACCGAGAATTTTATCTTGCATTGTTGACCTGAAGACGAAAATAAACTTCCAGAAACAACATCTGCCGATAGATCTTGATCTAAGTTTGTGCCAATGCATTGCAAAAGTAAAAAAAGGGCCCGTTTAACGGAGCTGCCGTGAAGCACGCGAAGTCGCTATTTTGAATTCATTTCAACACACAAGAGAGTGGCGCAATGTATACATCACAGAAAACTCCATAGGCTAGCATCAGTGCGGGATGGCCGAGCGGTCTAAGGCACTGATTTCAGTCACATCAACATTTGAACGCAAGAGATCAAATCCCTACTTCAACAAATGTCAAAATCGAGGGTGCGGCCTAAACCGCGCTGCGGCCTTATCGCCAGCAAATACGGTATTTATCATTTGGTCTCACGATCATTTAGGCTAATACTCATTTGGTCTTATTTCCCTATGGTCTAATCTCCAATAATTCTACTACCTATCTGGTATAGTTGCAAGTCAGTCTAATTTCTAGTTTTTCTAATACCCACTTTGTCTACTACCCTATCCATATGATCTAAAATCATTTAGTCATAAATCACAATAATCATCAAATGATTATTAAACCTTGTGCATGGTGACAAAATGGGTATTAGACAAACTGGGTATTAGACTAACTGGGTATTAGACAAACTGGGTATTAGACAAACTGGGTATTAGACAAACTGGGTATTAGACAAACTGGGTATTAGACAAACTGGGTATTAGACAAACTGGGTATTAGACAAACTGGGTATTAAACAAACTGGGTATTAGACAAACTGGGTATTAGACAAACCGGGTATTAGACAAACCGGGTATTAGACTAACTGGGTATTAGACAAACTGGGTATTAGACAAACTGGGTTTTAGACAAACTGGGTATTAGACAAACTGGGTATTAGACAAACTGGGTATTAGACAAACTGGGTATTAAACAAACTGGGTATTAGACAAACTGGGTATTAGACAAACTGGGTATTAGACAAACTGGGTATTAAACAAACTGGGTATTAGACAAACTGGGTATTAGACAAACTGGGTATTAGACAAACTGGGTATTAGACAAACTGGGTATTAGACAAACTGGGTATTAGACTAACTGGGTATTAGACAAACTGGGTATTAGACAAACTGGGTATTAGACAAACTGGGTATTAGACTAACTGGGTATTAGACAAACTGGGTATTAGACTAACTGGGTATTAGACAAACTGGGTATTAGACAAACTGGGTATTAAACAAACTGGGTATTAGACAAACTGGGTATTAGACAAACTGGGTATTAGACAAACTGGGTATTAGACAAACTGGGTATTAGATTAAATAAACGATAGACCAAAAGGGTAGTACCCCTGTAGACTAATTGGAGATTAGCCATATGAAAATTAGACTAAATGACTATCAGCCTAAATGGTCATTAGACTATTGATAAGGAGACAAAATTATTATTGGACCTTGTGGATAGTAGACGGGCTGGGTAAGGACATATGAAAATAGACCAATCGGGAAATAGACAAACTGGTATTCACCAATGATAACAGAGCACAATCATGAATGTACGGTCTTGTTTATGCATGCATGTGAATTTGTGTAGGTACAGTAATACAATCTTGATAGCAAGAACATGAGTACCAAAATAGAACAATTTGTTGCTAAATCAGTTAAATCTTGGGAAAGTTGAGAGAAAGGCAAATATTAACTGCTGTTGAAATTATCAACTTAAATCTTCTACAATTCATTTAGCCTTCTGAATCAGAGAATATGATTCTAAGATATCTGAGTGAATCACAGTCAATAGGTGAAAGGTCATGACCTTTATAAACCGAGGTCAATATCACATAAAGGCAGGTGAAATTCACAAAGTGTGAATCATATAATTCAAGGAATAAACACAGATTAACAGCAGCATCAAATGTAACATTCCAAGAATAAGTTACACATGTATGCTACTACCATGTCAAAGTCAATTTCACAGAGAATTTTGATATGTTGTGATAGCGTGCACTAGTACAACATGTACTATACATGTAGTTGTAGGGAAATGTACATTAATTGTAGTTTGTCATTCTGTAACTTTACGTACACGTACACATAGCATTGACAGACAAAACTCCACTGTTACTAGACCGGCCATGCACCTTGGGCATTTAAATATAAAGTACGAGTGGTCTTTTACCTCCTCCTACTCTCCCTCTTTTCCATCCTTCCTCTCTATTTTCCCTTCCTTCCTTTCTGTCTCTATCTTATGTTCTACTTTTTCTCTCCCTCTTCTCCATATCTACCCACTCCCCTTTTCATTCTTCCACCCTCTTTTCTCCTTTTATTCTTACTTCTGATGACATGAAATTAATCTTTTAAAATGTTAATTGTAATATTTCAAGATTTGTTATTGTGTATGATTTACGTACTCCATGTATATTAGTCTTATGGTTCAATAATTACCGGTATTGATAATTGGTACTTTTGGATGTGTATGTATTTTGTATATTATTTTGTTAATTGAATATTTTCAGCTCTTGCACTGCATGTTTGATGGTTCTATCTTAATAAACTGATTCAGTTATTTAAATAATAATAACAATTATAACAAAAATATGGCATAAAAAAGTCAGTAATACAGCCTAGGGCAATCAAACTATTGTTCTGTGTTAAAAGTGACATTTGTTGTCCCACAAGAACAATCCACTGTACACTGTATATAAATGGTGTGTATACATGTACATGCTTATGTTTATATATTCATGACTGAATGACAGTTGGTCAAAGCAGGGTAAAACTTACCGCTTGATAGTTTCTGGTTTCATTCATTGCACCCATGAATTTCAGGAGGTAGTTCTGAAAGAGATAAATCAACATTCTCTGTATACAAAACATCAAAACATCACTAAAATTGTTACAGTCAATGTTACATTTTCAAACCAAATTAACATGAACTACATTTAATATCATTAATGGAAGTATTGCCTAGATTTGTTTTCCCTTAATTTTTCGTTGATGAAAGTTCAGTAAGTAAACATGCATGCACAAGAGATCACACATGTACAAGGCATTAAATATTCAATATTACACTGTGTAAACCAGTCATCCTTCAAAATGACAAAAATATCATTAATCATGAGCATTTTATTGGCACATACATGTAGGCTTAATTTCTAATTGTCTGTAACCCACGCAATCCAAATACAAAAGGGTTCACATGGCCATTTTGATCAAAGTCCATATTGATTTAAGCTGAAAATCATGATGTGTCAAGATTAAAGTTAATGACAATTTTTGGTTCTAGTTTAACCAAAAAATCTATTTGACTTTGTTTCCTTTTAATATTGCGAATAAAGCATACCCAAATGACAGCTTTATGCAAAGGGCCTCCGTGCAGACCCCTGACATCTTATACATGTACAAAGTGACTGCATGGATACAAAACTTAAAGTGTATGTTGAGCTCTGGTATTGGCATGATATGTCGAGAGAACATGGCTATAATTCATTCTGGATTGTTTATCCTGCAGTAGATAGATTGTTTGAACCAGTAAAATAAAAACAACCACACAAAAAATGGTGACGTGTTGAGTTGGTGTCCGGCCTACTTACCTTGATTTCCTTATCTTTCTTTGCTCATTACTCAGCCCCGTCCAAATTGTGCCAAACGATTTTGGTAGAAAATGTCAATAGTTTGTAATCTTCAACATTCAGTGTAAGTTTTGTTGGATTATGTGAGAATTTGTTTTCTATCATTACCAGAACTCAAGCTTATCTTTAACTTCATAATTACACTGATGGTCTGAGGATAGCTAAACCAGACAATTAAAATATTGCTGATACAGAGTCTCACTTAATATACACTCAAAAAAGATGCATTCATAATACCCCACCCTACATGTACCTCTAAAATAGGGGGGTCTTTCCTTAATGCTCTGCTGTTCATCCATATACTTTATTTCTATTCTATGTTTTTATTTCTTTGAAAAAGAGATTTTTGTTTTACGATAGACATAATTTGTCTCAGTTCTCACCTGTACTAGATCATCTCCTCTGAAGTACTTCATAATCTCATTAGTACCTGTAATAAAAGATCTGCAGAATAGAGGAGAAAATGAGGAACACTTTAAAAAACTAAACATTATACATATACATTTATGTCACCAGGTACCAATATTGTACCACCAAAAAGTTGTGTTGTTGGGTTTTCAGTCACGGTTCAATAAAAGTGTCATCTGATAATAAAGCATGGTAAACTTTAAGTTTTTAGAATTTCTGAAAGATTATAAATGTATTTCCTTCTATATCATCAACATTATTAATCACCAAACAATCCAATAATGATAATTATTGCAGTGTTTTGTAAATTGTAGACCTTTAATTGTCTTTATATCTAAAGAGGTGTTGTAGAGGTTTTTATTTCTTTAAAACCGTACTTGTCTCATTTTGATCTCCCAAAAGCTGTTGCATTGATACCCAGACAAATAAACAACTGGATACATGTCATTTTATTGTTTGCCAAGTTTTAGAAAAATCTGATAATCCATTCACAACAATTTCTATAGACTCAGTTTGTCACCTTGCACAATACCATAAGAGTCAGATTGCTAGAACAGACTACTGACTTTAAACACTGCTCTTCTCTACATGTAGATATTACATAAAGCAGGATAATTATAAGTAAATAATAAATTCAATAACAACAACACCAATACTAATGTACTACAAGTACTACTTCTACTACTACTACTACTACCACCACTACTACCACTACCACTACTACTACCACCACTACTACCACTACTACTACTACTACTACTACTACTACTACTACTACTACTTCTACTACTACTACTACTACTACGACTACGACTACTAATACTATTACTATTAGTACTACTACTACTACTACGACTACGACTACTACTACTACTACCCCCACTACCACCACCACTACTTCTACTGCCACTACTACTAATGATAATGAGATTTGTAAGGAGTCTTAAAGTCATATGCTCAAGGCGCACTTGTGAAGAAAACTAATTGAAATCATTTTAGATTGCATTGCATTCAATGTAATCTAGAAGGCAAAGAGGAGTCCATCAGGGTTCATAAGTGTAAAACTATTAAAAAAAAAAAAACTTATTCATAATAGAAAGCCCAGTATAATCTCCATGTAACTGTGTTGTATATGTATTCTAATGTTCTATACACTTCCAATTCCTTAAAATCACATGCACTACCAAAGACATCCGGACACTACAGTATGTTTACAATATACTGTACAAGGTCTGGATTTAGGATTTCCTTCTTTGATTGTCTGCCTAGAACTGCCTAGAAAACAAAACCCAACATCTAATAAATGGCAGGGTAAATTGATTTAAATTTCAATATCAATTTGTTCATTTCATCATCACCATTATCATCATCATCATCATCATCATCATCATCATCATCATCATATCATCATCATCATCATCACCATAATCTTTAAATGAAAACTACATTCCAAAACAAAGGTTGAAACAAATTATAATAACCATAAAAATAAATGGAAAAAAACACACAACGGCAACGACGTGCTTGAAAAGTGTAGCTCCACGGAAAAATTAAACAATAGCCCATGTACTGTACATGTACATGTAGTTGTAAAACAGGAAATGAAAAATCATTTGGGAGGTAAAAACATAGCTGTGAGCAAGGATGGCCTCTAAAAGACATGTACTTCCTTATCTGTGTGTTATTATACAGCATTGTGAAGCACATTGTTTGAAGCAATTTACATAATAACTTCATCATTACAGATTAATGGAAGTTTTTAAAATGTATTTCATTTTGAGTGAAGATTGGCACATGTAACTTAAAGTGTATAGAGTCCTGTTGTCCCATGATAACATGGGCCAAAGTCTATGGAGAATTTTTGCTTTAAAAAAAAAATGTATCAGACAGGTTATTCATTGGGATATTATGCATCATGCAGTAGATAGGGACAAACATAAAAACTGGATGGACATCAATTTCATTGAAAAGCTAAATTTGTGCATATACCTGTACTTGTACCTGATTTCCCTTGCAATTTTGTTAAATCATTATGAGAACTCAAGATAAATTAAGTGCTAAACTTACCCAAAAGCATTGTTGTAAGCCTTCCCTGCTTCTACCATAATATTGCACAACTTCACAAGCTATAAATACAAAATAAAGAAAGTATAGACCATCAGAGATAGGACATACAAAGATTTTACATATAACCCTGGCACAGGTCGTGTGAGATTAACTGCAACTTTTCAGCATGCTACAGGCTACATTTGCTGCCTTTCATAATATCAACTTCTTACAAGTTTGGTGAATATTTTCAAGCACATTGAGAATTTCATATAATAGATATTATGCTTCATGAATGACTCTTATTATATAGGTTTGTACCTCTCATTGAATGTGATGGTACGCATTACTGCTTTGTGAACAGAATAGACAACACCCTACCAACAGCATGTTATGTGCATAACTTCATCAGGTTACCGATAAATACAAACATCACTGTATGTTGTCCCTTTTGCCTATTTTTAAGACTAAACCTGTACACCTGCATGTAAGTGCACTGTACATCATGACAACACCACAAAATCCCTCAAAATCCCTCACTTTCCTTCAGAATTTTAATATAAAAAGGAGCTACATGTAGAAGGATTCATTTAATTTCAAATATATGTACATGTACCGGTACATGTTAAGTGTTCATGTACATGTAGCAATAGCACCAGTACAATCCGTACTTGTAGAAATGCAAATGTAAATGTAGCAAGAGAAAACCTTTTCCTTAAAAAAGAAATTTAAAAAAATATTTTGTAAAAAATGAAGTTTCAATATGATATCTATCCTCTGTATGAAACTACAAATCATACCAGATTTCAGGGAAAACCTGTCTTTACCTTTTCAAGTTTATGCTCAAGATCTGAGATATCTGCCTCTGAATCTTCTAGAGCTGACCTGAAATGAGAGAAACAAATAAAACATTGAACTTTGAACTGGACATCAGAGAAAGCGTACTTTTAACAATTTCAGACCATTCAAGAAAACTCATTGTACATTGATAATACATCCACAGGGTCTACCAGTTATTTTTCTTTTTACTTCACTGTCGATCCATGTACGCTTTGTGGTTGTATTATACTACATGATGTACTGTATAATAGGTGTAATTGTACTACATTTTGATCTTGGGTTCTATAATTGTGTTGCATTATACAGCACAGATGAAAGAGGGAAGTAAAACCAACATGTTCAAGGAAACTCCAATCTCATTGTACAATTTGAAGAGGTTCCTGGCTTTATAGTATTTCAAAAAAATGATTAAATAACAATGTAAATATTATGTGTCCATATTTTTGTTTTCAACAATCAAAAAGGATGTTTAATGCCTGGGATAACAACATTTTGTGACATACATATATTTTGTTGTTATTAGATGAATGTCCAGACAGTTGTTAACATGGCCTTCATTTGCATCCCGGATATGAGCAGTGAATGAACTATTTTTCTCTTAATAGGCCATACTAGGCACACTTCCTTTTCTAAACAAACTACTGTTCAGTCACTTGCATTCTTGTATTAAGAGTGATCTGACTGATTAAACTCTGGTCTTAAACTACTGTTCACTTGCATTCTTGTATTAAGAGTGATCTGACTGATTAAACTCTGGTCTTAAACTACTGTTCACTTGCATTCTTGTATTAAGAGTGATCTGACTGATTAAACTCTGGTCTCAAACTACTGTTCACTTGCATTCTTGTATTAAGAGTGATCTGACTGATTAAACTCTGGTCTTAAACTACTGTTCACTTGCATTCTTGTATTAAGAGTGATCTGACTGATTAAACTCTGGTCTTAAACTACTGTTCACTTGCATTCTTGTATTAAGAGTGATCTGACTGATTAAACTCTGGTCTTAAACTACTGTTCACTTGCATTCTTGTATTAAGAGTGATCTGACTGATTAAACTCTGGTCTTAAACTACTGTTCACTTGCATTCTTGTATTAAGAGTGATCTGACTGATTAAACTCTGGTCTTAAACTACTGTTCACTTGCATTCTTGTATTAAGAGTGATCTGACTGATTAAACTCTGGTCTTAAACTACTGTTCACTTGCATTCTTGTATTAAGAGTGATCTGACTGATTAAACTCTGGTCTTAAACTACTGTTCACTTGCATTCTTGTATTAAGAGTGATCTGACTGATTAAACTCTGGTCTTAAACTACTGTTCACTTGCATTCTTGTATTAAGAGTGATCTGACTGATTAAACTCTGGTCTTAAACTACTGTTCACTTGCATTCTTGTATTAAGAGTGATCTGACTGATTAAACTCTGGTCTTAAACTACTGTTCACTTGCATTCTTGTATTAAGAGTGATCTGACTGATTAAACTCTGGTCTCAAACTACTGTTCAGTCACTTGCATTCTTGTATTAAGAGTGATCTGACTGATTGAACTCTGGTCTTAAACTACTGTTCACTTGCATTCTTGTATTAAGAGTGATCTGACTGATTAAACTCTGGTCTTAAACTACTGTTCAGTCACTTGCATTCTTGTATTAAGAGTGATCTGACTGATTGAACTCTGGTCTTAAACTACTGTTCACTTGCATTCTTGTATTAAGAGTGATCTGACTGATTGAACTCTGGTCTTAAACTACTGTTCACTTGCATTCTTGTATTAAGAGTGATCTGACTGATTGAACTCTGGTCTTAAACTACTGTTCACTTGCATTCTTGTATTAAGAGTGATCTGACAGATTAAACTCTGGTCTTAAACTACTGTTCACTTGCATTCTTGTATTAAGAGTGATCTGACTGATTGAACTCTGGTCTTAAACTACTGTTCACTTGCATTCTTGTATTAAGAGTGATCTGACTGATTGAACTCTGGTCTTAAACTACTGTTCACTTGCATTCTTGTATTAAGAGTGATCTGACTGATTAAACTCTGGTCTTAAACTACTGTTCACTTGCATTCTTGTATTAAGAGTGATCTGACTGATTAAACTCTGGTCTTAAACTACTGTTCACTTGCATTCTTGTATTAAGAGTGATCTGACTGATTAAACTCTGGTCTTAAACTACTGTTCACTTGCATTCTTGTATTAAGAGTGATCTGACTGATTAAACTCTGGTCTTAAACTACTGTTCACTTGCATTCTTGTATTAAGAGTGATCTGACTGATTAAACTCTGGTCTTAAACTACTGTTCACTTGCATTCTTGTATTAAGAGTGATCTGACTGATTAAACTCTGGTCTTAAACTACTGTTCACTTGCATTCTTGTATTAAGAGTGATCTGACTGATTAAACTCTGGTCTCAAACTACTGTTCACTTGCATTCTTGTATTAAGAGTGATCTGACTGATTAAACTCTGGTCTCAAACTACTGTTCACTTGCATTCTTGTATTAAGAGTGATCTGACTGATTAAACTCTGGTCTTAAACTACTGTTCACTTGCATTCTTGTATTAAGAGTGATCTGACTGATTGAACTCTGGTCTTAAACTACTGTTCACTTGCATTCTTGTATTTTAAGAGTGATCTGACTGATTAAACTCTGGTCTTAAACTACTGTTCACTTGCATTCTTGTATTAAGAGTGATCTGACTGATTAAACTCTGGTCTTAAACTACTGTTCACTTGCATTCTTGTATTAAGAGTGATCTGACTGATTAAACTCTGGTCTTAAACTACTGTTCACTTGCATTCTTGTATTAAGAGTGATCTGACTGATTAAACTCTGGTCTTAAACTACTGTTCACTTGCATTCTTGTATTAAGAGTGATCTGACTGATTAAACTCTGGTCTTAAACTACTGTTCACTTGCATTCTTGTATTAAGAGTGATCTGACTGATTAAACTCTGGTCTTAAACTACTGTTCACTTGCATTCTTGTATTAAGAGTGATCTGACTGATTAAACTCTGGTCTTCATCAACTGACACATTCTTGGTAGCCTTGCGATAAATGAAAGCTAGTACTGTACATTCTAATAAAAATGCTTAAAATCCTTTTTTTTTCTTCACCTGCAGTAGAGTATACATATAAAACTACATTTACATAAGGTGTACACAGACTTACACCTGTACATTTATTTTTTCACAAATTTAAAAAAAGAAAGAAAAAAAGTTAGCCCATTCAAGCCAAATTACATTTATTTATGTATTTATTTATTTAAAAATAACATGTCATTATAATAATAATGACATTGAGTCTACCTATATCATATTCGAAGATTCCTTAAAGAGATCGGGAAGGAAAAAAAAGAAAAAAGAAATCTGGGGAAAAGAAATCTGGGGGAAAAAAATCAGTAAAAAATCGTGGAAAAAAAAAAAATCAAAATTAGTCGGTATAGATTTAAATCAGGGTTTTATCAGGCCTGTATGTGGCATGTACATTGCAGTGAGTGTACATGTACTGTTTAAATTTCCAGAAATCACACGCACTCACTCACTACACATATTGTTACTGGTATCATTGACATTGAAAAGATCAATATCCCACTTTGTTTAATCCAGCGTGTGCCCAGTACATCTGGTATGGTAGTAGGTGTGCATGGCTTGTCTTCCTAGTCCACATTGAACTATAGTATCATCCTAGTACTTACAATGTAGATACACTGCACACCTTTTAATACACTGGACCCAAAATAGATGTACAGTACAAGGAGATTCAGTTTCCTTGTCACTGTTTACATATATGAAACCCTCTGGTTTTCCCACTTTTGTTATTTGTTTTGTCTGTTTTGCATCAGTATACTCACATAGCACAATATATGTCAATAAATAGGCTTGGCCAGCTATAAAAGCATGGCAGCCATCTTGGAAAAAAATAGCAAAAAATAAATCTTTCATTGATATGCTGAAGGAACATACATGTACATGTACAGTGTATATGTACACTGTACTGAACATGAACCAATGGAAGACAAGGATTCAATGAATTGAATTTGTTGCAGACCATGGAATCCATTTAGACACATGTTATGTACATGGAGCCCACTCTAAATAAACAACCCATTTCAGAAAACTTCAATAAAAATCACTGAACGTGAACAAAAATCACAAATAAAAAATGGAGTCCTTTTGAAAAGCCTGTACTGCTAGGATTACTGATTGAACGTGCAGGAAATAATTTTAAGAAGAAAGGCAAGCTCTACATTTTATGTATTTGATTCAGAATGCTCATTTACACTGCATACATGTAGAAACCAATTAGAAAAACCATTGGTGTTCTTAACCATTGGTGTTCTTAACCATTGGTGTTCTTAACCATTGGTGTTCTTAACCATTGGTGTTCTTAACCATTGGTGTTCTTAACCATTGGTGTTCTTAACCATTGGTGTTCTTAACCATTGGTGTTCTTAACCATTGGTGTTCTTAACCATTGGTGTTCTTAACCATTGGTGTTCTTTACCATTGGTGTTCTTAACCATTGGTGTTCTTTACCATTGGTGTTCTTAACCATTGGTGTTCTTAACCATTGGTGTTCTTAACCATTGGTGTTCTTAACCATTGGTGTTCTTAACCATTGGTGTTCTTAACCATTGGTGTTCTTAACCATTGGTGTTCTTAACCATTGGTGTTCTTAACCATTGGTGTTCTTAACCATTGGTGTTCTTAACCATTGGTGTTCTTAACCATTGGTGTTCTTAACCATTGGTGTTCTTAACCATTGGTGTTCTTAACCATTGGTGTTCTTTACCATTGGTGTTCTTAACCATTGGTGTTCTTAACCATTGGTGTTCTTTACCATTGGTGTTCTTTACCATTTACACTGTTGGAAAAACCCATGAAAAAAAATCAGTGTTGTCACTTGTCAATTCCATTTTCTTTTTTTTTGTTCAGTTGTGCGCATCGGCGACTTGTCGCTGCTTTGCACACGATAGCGCAGGAGAGAGGAGAGACATACATGTGAGCAAAAACTGGAATAATTCATGTGTTTTGAGAGCAAGCATTTACATTTTACAAAACCCAGCAGAGTTTTTTTTTAAACACACTCCAGAGATGTTTTTTTAATTTTATTTGGGTTTTTCGTCAAGTTTATTGGTACCTAGCTGCCTAGAAAACTCAAAAATGTTAGAAAAGCTGATAGTGTAAATGACCCTAGATGTACTGTATGCAGAGTCTAAATATAAGAGATCTCTATGATGGGACAGTTAAAAGTCCAAAGATGTAAGGAAGAACAGGTTCAAGCTACAATGTACATGAAGACTGAGCACTGAAGATGTCCATTCACTGTTGGATAGATCCATCATCGAGCATCATCTAAAATGAGGATTGAGGTATTCCCAGAATGACAGGCATCCCCATAGCAGGGATGTGGCCCCAGGTCTACATCATAAATCCAGCTAAGATACACATAGCTATGCCATCTGTGTGTACATTATTTTGCTTTATGATTATAATATTTGGTCACTTCCCTCTATGACATGTACACGATTGCTCTGTATTCATTTATCTTTGAACATAGAAAGTCCACAGAAAATCTGTTACCGTGCTAGGTCTATAAATATAATGAAGTTCAACAAAAGAAACTACAATGTAAAGTGCATACATGGATTAAGCCAGTAGTTTGGCATTTATGACAAGGATAATATACTGATTAAAAAAAACAATTGCCATATAATCAAGGCAACATGAATGCTTTAGACTGCAAATTTGCAATAGACTCCAACCATTCTTAAGTGTACAGTACATTGGAGCTGGGTCATGTAAAATGATACATTGTGCAAAGTCATCGAGAATAGGGGAAGTGAAAATGAGAGGAAGAGAGAGAGAGAGAGAGAGAGGGGGGGGGGGGGTCAGAGAAAGTGTGGACATATCCATGCTAAATAAAACGGTCTCGGACAATAACAAAAAAATTCAGAACTGCACATTTACACATATATTTAAAACCATTTGTCTGAATCATTGAGTCGTTAAAGCGAGAATCCCTCCATAGTATTTTGTTCTATTGACAGTAATGCCTGAAAGACCCTGAAACAGAGAAGTGGCAGGACCTAGCCGAAAACGTGAAAACTATGATCCCTGATAAACTACGATTCAATCAAGCTGTCATTCACCATTTGAAGATAGACTGACTCACACTGACTATGAATGACCCAATCACAAACCACAGAAGCTCACTGCATACATATTAAAAGGCTTTTGTGTGATATTTGCTATCATATTGTTGAGGGTTGGTATTTTCCCATGCAGTCATTGTGTATGGGCTTGTTACAGTGTACAGTGGGGAGTATCCCTCAGTAGATGAATGAGCCTGAATCATGACTCATACCTCACAATACAAACCACTCTGTCTTAGTGCTATGCCTAATATTGCCTTTATTTGTACGTTTGTAAGTCTGGATTAATCCATGAAATGCTGAATGGTTTTTAGACTTTGGATTACACTGCCATCAATCCAAAAATATGATCTAGATTATCTCCCCATTGAATTACAATTTAAGGTTTAGTCCCATGTATTTATAACTACCGTACCGGTAGGCTGTTTATTCAGTTGAGACTCTGTTTCTTAACCCGTTAACTAATGAACTATTTCACTCTCATCGGCTTAATACAGGTTCCCTTTGACAATGGGTTGATACAAGTTGTTTGGTATGTTGTATGTTGGGCAGTGACTGTTAAAAATTGTAAAGGCAACAGAAATAATTATATATTGAACATGTATCATTGGTAGCCATGCAGTGGTGATATTAGGGGTACCTTCCAATCAATAAAACTCACAGACTATCATGAATAACTACCAATTATAAAGTTTACAGAGACAATGTGAACAGGATGACAACATAAGCTAGACACATCAATTGTTATTGAGCATGACAAAATGAGTTTCATTTTTGTTTCCTTATGCAACTGAAGACAGGAAGCCAACAGGTCCACAATTAATTCCTACATGCATGTAGGAATTATGGGAAGGAAATAAAACAGGAAGAGATGGTTGAATAAAAGGGACTTCCTCATGTGTGTATGTGAGTAAAGTTGCAGTGACCCATGAACATCGCAAATGCACATACTTGTATACTTGTCCAGTGTGAAATGTGCAGCATACACTGTACATTGTCTTAATTATAAAGAAAAAATTATTATAACTCGTCGTCCTGTTGATTTTGCCAACGTCCCCGAGGGACGGTTCTGGGGCGAAATAGCCTCAAAGATTAACATAAGGATATAAGGAGAAAAAAGGAAATAAGAGAAAAAAGGATATAAGGGAAAAAAAACAAAAAATAACGAAAGGAAAGAAAATTTCAAACAAAACATAAGAACAGCTTAGAATAACATACTGTAACTAATAAGGAAAGAAAGAAAGATAAAAACCAATAAACTTACTGATGGGGAAAGATAGACAAGAGACAGGATTTAAAAACAAAGAATTACACAAGTGACAAGGAAAGTAGAAGCAAATATGATTGATATCATGATAATGATAAGGGTAAAACAAAAAATAATATAATAAAATATAAAACAAGAAGAGTAAAAAAGGAGAACAAGTACAAAGAAGTTGGATCAACTTGAAGATGTTATCATCTATTCTAGATGGTCTAGTTTAATAGTTAAAGCCCAAGACCACTCCAAAAATAACTTGCTTCAAATAAAAGCAGAAAAATCAGACTAACCAATCAAAAAAGTTTGAGCAAAATCGGATAACTAATAAGAAAGTTATGAACTTTCAATGACATGAAAAACTTTGAAAATCTCTAGACAAATTGGCAACTCACTTATGAGTCTGTGACGTCATGTCCTCACCATCCACTAATTGTTTTCTTTATATTGATGATATAAATTTCTTATTTCCTCCTTAAGAATCTTATTTCTTCACACCAGCATCCAAGTTAGATTGATAGTAATATGTTTTATGTGGATGCAATATAGATTTTTCCAGTTAAATCATGAAAAATATTAATTTTGATAAACTACTAATATAAAAATCAATAATTATGAATACACAATATTCAGAAAATAGTATAAATTCTTCAAAGTTCATGAAAGATTTTGTGAAATATCAAGCACGCAATATGATACAAATCATATAACCTGGGCAAAAGCATGGGGAAATCAAGTTTTGGGGAATAAAAAGGGAAATTAATGGGATTAAACTATATAAAGCAATTGATAATTAGTGAGGACATGACGTCACAAACTAATAACCATCTTGGCAATTTGTGTTGTGATTCTCACTGTTCCATAGTTTCAAATACTTTTTCAAAAATTCATAACTTTCTTATTGATTATCCAATTTTGCTCAAACTTGTTTTGATTGGTTTGTCTGATTTTTCTGCTTAAAAATTATTGAAAGTAAGTTATTTTTCGAGTGGACTTGTCCTTTAAGAAGTTAGATTTTGTAGGTCAAATTTTGTATCAGTGCGTTAAATCTTCATCACCGTGATTAGGCTTGAAGCAGCACTTACACTGGAAGAAGAAATAATATTTTTATAAGAGTCTACTTTTTTGTAGATTTATAGTAATTTAGTATCTTATGAGTATGTTTTGGCAGTTCTTAACATAGGTTGGTTTATGCTATAAAGTCTAAGACTAAAGCCCCTTTCACACCAGATCTGCGTAGAGTTGCGTAGTGTGATGTACAGACTACGCCAAAATTATGTTGCATATTCATGAAAAATATGTTGCTTCAGCGTAGTCCCTACGTAGGCTATGCGTGCAGTTGTAGGTTGGCGTACAATGGCGTATGGTTAAGTATCCTGCGCAACTAGGTACCGTGTACCTACGGCGTATGCAATTGGCGTACCTACGCATACGATTGCATATATCAGGCATAGGGTTGCGTACGTTTATGAAGGCCTGGCATACAGGTTTGCTTACGGTTGCTTACTGTGTGCGCAAGCTTTTAGTGCTTCGTCGGACTGGCGTAGGGTAACATACTATTGCGTAGGCTTGGCGTAGTGTAGCGTAGTGGTGTGCAGCCATAGACTTGCGTAAAAAGTGTCTACGCCGAAAGTACGCGACCTGGTGTGAAAGGGGCTTAAGTAAAGAAAGGACTGGTGAATGGTGATGTATATTCACTAATTTCATAAATCACCAGGCCAAGCCCGCTCCATGCAGTCTGACAACATAAATTAAAAGTCCGCATGAATATGAGTGTCTATGATCTAATCTTCAAAGAGAAGAAGAAGAAGAAGAAGGAGATGAGCTTTGTGTGTACTACAGACAGTGTAGATCTAGTGCAGCTAGCTTTGCGAGCATTTCCCATCCACCAGTGTGGGACGGTCGGCCGAGTACGAGTAACGATGTACCTGGAAATCAGAAACTGAAATAAACATGGATTGATTGGATTCCTTACCTGAATTTGGGTGAATCACGCAGACACTCTTCAAAATTGATCTTTGGCTTCATCGTGACTTGATCTAACCCGAAGGAATTTCTACAGATATTATTGTTCCTTGCTCCAAGACGGTTATCTAACTGACAGAGTAAATAGTATAGAAGAAGAAGTAGAACTAGAAGTAGTTTATTCTCGACTCCCCTCGTTAATGCACTCGATATTTTCTGCACAATATATTACATGTGAATACACGAACGACACTACTGCACGCAGTACTGCAATGCTCGCTAGCTCGCTCGCGTGACGGGCGGATTCATCGGTTCGGTGTACACGCCCCCAAATTTACTGCCGTGCTGTTTTCTGATATTTTAGGGCGTCATAATCATTACAGGGGCCGGGGGCGTGGAACTTCTTTTTTTTTGGGGGGGGGGGGGTAGGGGGTGTCGGTTGCAGATTCAGGGGGCCAGGGTGCACGCCCCCCCCCCCCCCAAGTAAAAAAAAATATCTTTCTTTTAATAAAAAAAAAAGTAGACGGTCCCCACCTCTAGCAAAAAGCAGGGCGGGGGGATGTTGAATTTTTTATAATAAAAAATTGTGCATTAGCCCCCCCCCCCCCTACTCCTCCCTGCTTGTTCGCTGCTAATTATTTACTCACGAAATGGACAAAAAAAACATATAGTGCAGCTGTCGTGAAAGGTTTTGCAAACTACTGTGACTGGTATTGTAAAAGATGATAATACTGATATTAAAGTCTTATGGACGGATCATTATGCAGATTCATTTAATGATACATGAAAATGAGTTTCTTTTTTAATTCAGGCAACACTATAAAAGTACCATTTTGATTAGTTTGATATGAAAAAAATGAAAATACTCAAATCTAACGAAATACCAGCATCTCTATGTTTGATTAAAACAAGATATTTTTGGAATTACGTGTGTCAGCATATCTGTATATTGACCAAATAGTTAGCCACATATACAAAGCAAATTACTGCTTATTGATGAACTAAAGACCGTCACTATACTACTGGGCCAGAGGGGATTAGACCACACAGCGAGGTCACTGACAGGTGGCTATCTCCTTAACTCAGCTCTCAACTAACGTAAGAAAAAGAGGATCATGAGGGACCAACAGGCACCGATTGGTGAAGTTTTCTATATAGAGGGAGCAAGTAGCTACAAGTAGGACAGTGGGGCTTAACTAAGCTGCATTTTGTATGCATTGTATTATATTTTTGAGAGGAGCAATCAATGTTCCTACTTTATCCAAATTATTGTGATAATTTCTTCTAGGGACCAGGATGAGTAGGCCAGAAACAAGTCAATCAGGGGATCACATATTACATGAGGATCACTATAATACACAGCGGCGGATCCAGGAATTTCTTACCGGAGGGAGGGGGGGGGGGGGATCGCTTGGGGTGAAATATATGAAAAACGATGGAGCGAGGCGTCAGCGGCGAGGGAGCAGGGGGGGGGGGTCTGGGAGGGGGTAAGGACCCCCTTGAAGAGGAGTAGGAAGCATTTGCAATTTTAGAACCACATTAGACGCATTTTCATGCACTTCCTGGAGTAATATGAATTGCTTTCTCTAGACTCCTACCCCCCTCCAAGAATAGGGATCTTTTGCAATTCGAGAACCAAATTTGGCGCATTAATGTATACAGGCACTTCCTGGAAATAAAACGAGGCCTTCTGATTGGTTCGAAGTTTACAGAAAAGTGATCTGGGCCCCGTCTTACAAAGAGTTTATATCAATCGTAACTTATTTGCGATTGATATCAATCGTAACTATGTACATAAGAGATAGGAAACTGCAAACTTGCGATTGATTGGAGGACTTACTTTTTTTTTTTTTATGGTCAGTTTTTATTCTTTTCTCTCTTGAAACAAATTATAATCATAGTACAAATTACAATCATCATATGTAACTCTCACTGCAAATGTGATGACATTATAAATCAGTATAAATTTTTGTCTTACAAACGGCTTCAAAAGAAACTTACATAGTTAGTTCCTATACATCATATTTGAAACAAAAATTCATATTTTCAAAGAAAACATATGCAGTTGTATAATCCAAATTTTTTTTGTTTTAACAATGTAGCAACTTATACTTCTTTTTATACTGTTGTCCTGAGAGAAAAGTTTTCTCTTTTTGTTAACCCTACCCTACCCGACCTCTCCCTTATCCCCATCCCCCCCCCCCTCTTAACCGGTGGACGACTGGCTCTGGGTTCCAATTGTTTGTCTAATACTCAGGTTTTCCCATTTAGAAAAATGAATAGTGAGAGTTCCCCTCATTGCTGCCAATTTCCTTTCTTCTACTTTATCCCCTATTATACTATTCTTTATTTCATTAAAAGAGGGTGGTTTTTTAAGTTCTCTATTTCTATAAATCAGATATTTAACAAGAATTAAAACATGATTCATTAATTGATATTTTCCTTTATTTCTCTCGTCTTTCCCATACAGAATTTCCTCCAAACTACAGTTATGTATTTCAAAGTCTAAAAATCTCGTGCACATTTCCCACACTGATTGTGCAAATTCACAAGTATAGAATAAATGTTTATATGTTTCTTCATCTTTTTCGCAAAATGAGCATAAGTTAGTCGAGACAAGACCAAAACGGAAGAGGTGATGATTTATATATAATATATTATGTATAAGTTTGAACTGAAACTCTCTTAATCGACTGTTAAGTGTACACTGTCTTAGTCTTAAAAATATGTTTTCTATTTCCTTACAGGAAAAACCATAGTTCCTTCCAATTGTCTCAAAAACCAAAGGTTTAAAATCATCTTTCTTTATTAATTGTACATAAATTTGTTTTGATTTTAAATCAGCTATATTAGTTGTTTTCTTCCCCAAAGTGAAATCAGTTCCAGAATTATTTTTTTCTTCTCCCTTTCTAAAATTATTTTTCCAACAAACTGGTAAACAGGCATAAAAGTGCTTGATCTTTTCAATTTCATTTACTTCAACACCTAAATCGATAAAATGCCTGTCACTTTTTAGTTTACCATCGTTTTCCAGAATATGTTTTAATTTGAAAATTCCTTTGTCATACAACCTCTTATCGTATATACAACTTCCTTTATATCGAATAAGTTTATTATTAAAAATTACCACATCACCAATGTCTATACTCCTTATATGTCTCGTATTCACCCAATCTTCTAATAAATCCATATAAAATTGTGGAGCTGTCACTTTTAATAAACTTGGTATATAGTCATATGAAAATATCAAATCTCCACCCACGTGTTCAGTGACAAAGTTAAAATATTGTTTCCATTTCATGTCTTCATCTTTGTTTAGAAGTTTTTGAATCCACATAATTCGCTGCGATTTAACTTGTGCAGAAAAATTTAACATCTTTAACCCCCCTTGGTTATAGTCTAAGAACATGGTGTTTCTATTGATTTTATCTGTTTTTCCTTTCCATATGAAATCAAAAGTTAATTCATCCAGTGAATCATAAACCCATTTTGGAACAGGAGTAAGTGACGCCCGATAAAGAACTTTAGAATAAATGTGCACTTTCAATAGTTGAATCTTACCCATAAGTGTTAAATCCCTTTGCTTCCAAAAATTTAAAAGTGTTTTTATTTTACTTAAGATTTCTTTATAATTTAGATCTTCTTTCTTGTGTTCATCGAGGGAAAAGAAAATCCCTAAAACCTTAAGAAAGTCAACTATTTCGCCAAAAGCAAAATCACAATCTAAACGTTGACATGAACCTAACCTTAATATTTTAGTCTTGTCGTTGTTTATTTTCAGTCCAGAAATTTTTTCGAAATCTGCAAATAATACTTTTAACCTATTAATTGATTTTTTATTGCGAACAAAAATTGTCATATCATCCGCATAAAGTACTAGTTTAGTTTCCTTATCTCCAAAATTAATTCCGTCCACCAATTTATCTATTCGTAATTTGTGTGCCATTACTTCAATACACAAGATAAAGAGGTACGGAGAAAGAGGGTCTCCAGGTCTTACTCCCCTTTCTACTTTGAAATAACCAGTGGACCCTCCTTCATTTAATACACAACTTAGAGTGTTCATGTATAAAACTTTAACCCACTTTTGAAAGGACGGACCGAAACCAAATGACGACAGAACTTTTTGAAGAAATTGATGTGAAATTGAGTCAAAAGCTTTTTCGAAGTCTACAGCTAACAAAAAACCAGATAAATTGTAACGGGATGTATGGAAAATAATATCATCTATAATGCGAATGGCCTCACCAATATTCCTCCCTTTCATGTAGCCCACCTGATCTCCCATAATGATCTCATTTAATACTTTCTTGATTCGCTTAGCCAAAATTTTTGTTAAGATTTTATAATCGACATTAAGAAGGGAAATGGGTCTATAATTTTTCAGTGAAAAGGGATCTTTCCCATCTTTAGCGATTAACGTAATTACAGCTTGTTTTTGAGACGATGCTAATTCTCCTAATCTATATGCTTCATTCAAGGCATCTTTAACTAAATTCTGAAGAAAAACCGTCATTTCCAGGTGATTTGTTCTGTTTTAATTCTTTTAAGATTTCTAGGCATTCTTTATTACTTATAGATCCTTCACAGTATTCTCGAGATTTTTCAGTCAATTTCGGTAAACCTTGAAAGAAACTATTATAACAATTATCCGAGCACTCGTACTCTACTTTACTGTACAACATGCTGTAAAACTTCCGGATTTCTTCAGTTATCCTTTTTTCATCGCAGCAAATAGCACCATCTGAGGTTTTAATTTTTTTAATAGTACTCTTTCTTTTGTTATTTTGCATTAATTGATTGAAATAACGCGAATCCCTTTCTCCGCTTTCGTACCACGAGGCTCGTGATCGAATCCTAATTCCTTCATTTACATAGCTATAAACTTCCTTTAATTTCTTTTTTGTATTTTCCAATTTTTCTAAAGTATCTGCATTAGTGCTTTCCGTCAATTGTTGTTCTAAACATTGTATTTATTTTTCTAAATCTGTTCTTATTGTTCTTCTTTGATCAGCCAATTTTTTGAAAATTTTTGTGTAAAGCTCCGAATTTTCATTTTTTAAAAATCCCATAACAACCTTTTGTCTTGTATTTTAGTTTGCAGTTCGTTTTTTAATTGACAAATTTTCTTTTTTAACTCTCTAACATAATCTTCATTTTCACATAAACTATTATTGAATTTCCAATATGACCCTTTTCTTCCATTCGTTTTATTGACTGATTTGTCAAATAAACGTAAAAATATTGAATGATGATCAGGGGCAACAGATGGAATTATATCGCACTTCATAACCATTTCCTCTAGACATTCTGATATTATCCAGTAATCTAGTCTACTTTGCATAAAGGGATTGTTTTGCATATAAGTGAATTGCCTTTTTAAAGAATGCCTACATCTCCAAATATCCAAAAGCTGCAAATCTTCCATGAATTTTTCAAATTCTCGATTAAATCTTTTCGAAATCCTGTTTGAAGATTTCCCGTTATAATCAAATTCAATGTCCCTAATCATGTTAAAATCACCACCTATTATAACCGGGTAGTTATCTTTATTTAACTTAACCAGATTATTGCGTAATTTTCGAAGAAATTGCAATTGATCACTCTCAAAATTTCTTGTTGGAAAATACACATTGCCTAAAATCAACCTAACACCTTGAAACTTACAGTCTATAAAAATATATCTACCCTCACTGTCTTTTAAGACTTGCAATATCTCAATATCTATCCTCGGCGCAATCAAAACGAGAACTCCTTTACTGTGATTAGAACCATGACTAAAATAAGTAGATCACTTACGATTGATTTGGATCGATCGTAACTCTTTGTTAGACGGGGCCCTGAACTGAGTTATTTTTCAGAGTACTCTCTCCTCGCGAAGCGCGGGAACATTGACGTTTTATTAAATCATTAGAGAAAGAAGACGATTTCGTTGTCTGTTTTCGACTCTTGAACCTTGTCTGAATTTAGTTTCCCCCTTCCGCGCGAGGCGGAAGTTTTGACGTTTCATTCAATTATTATAGAGAAAGAAGACGATTCGTCAGTGTTCTGTTTTCGACTCTTGATCCTTGTCTGAATTCAGTTTCCCCCTCCCGCGCGAAGCACGGAAGCTTTGACTAACATTAAATTATTAGAGAAAGAAGACGAATTTGTTGTACCGTTACTGACCCTTAATCCTTGTCTGAATTCGGTCCCCCCCCCCCCCCTCCCGTGCGAAGCGAGTGAAACTTTGACGTTTCGTTAAATCATTAGAGAAAGAAGATGATTCGTTGTACTGTTTTCGACTCTTAACCCTAATAAAGCCGGGGGGGGGCATTATGCCCTCCCCCCCTCCACGATTTTTCCGATTGCTCGGGAGCGCATATGGATGGCGCCCCGCGCCGCTCGCTGACTTTTTTCTTTCGAGTCTTGCGCAACTTTTAAAATATTTTTTTGAAAATCGGACCTACGGTTACAAGGTCACGTGACCTTTTCGCTCATTTTCGTGATGTACAAAACATATGGAAAAGTCTTTTTTTCCTAAAAACAGATCAAACATGGGTTATTGGGTCTTGTTTAAAGTTTAGGTGGTTGTTTTGGTAGTCAAAATAGTTGAATTGTAGTAAGAAATGAAATAAAACAACAAAAACAATGAAATACATAAGTTAAAAAAACACAAAAGAAATTATCAAAACAAGGGATAACATTTAAGCTGGCTCTTCCAAATTTTGTTGTATTATTATTTAGAATGGTATAATGAAAATATATAGTGAAAAAGAATGCTTAAATATGAATAACATATGATTTATGGGGAAAAATGTGATTTTTATGACTTTATTTGCATAAATTACCATAAATATGCAAATTAGTGAAATTTTCAAAAAATTGAAATTATCATATTATTCTATACACTTCACTTGACATGCTTGCACATTTTCGCGGCGATCGGCAGCTTCGCGGCCGAGATCTTAAGGGGGAGGCCATAATGCCCCCCCCCACCGGCCGTACTAAGACCTCAAATAGCCCGGCCTTTTTAGGTTAATCCTTGCCTGAATTCAGTTTTCCCGACCCCGCGCGAAGCGCGGATGTTTTGACGTTTCATTCAATTATTAGAGAAACTAAGACGATTCGTTGTAGGCCCGGCCCCCCCCCCCCCACTCAGTGTTATTTAGGGTACGCATATGCTCGTACCCTTTTTTTGAAAGCACGCCCTATCTGAGGACTGCCAACATTTCCGAACCCCCCTTTCGCGGGCTTTTCGCGTGCTTTTCCTGCCTTGAAGACCCCCCTAAATCAGGAAAAATGCTCAATGTACCCCCCTAAATTCGGAATAATTTCTCAGGAGTCCAAAGAGATGAGAGAAAAAAAGAAAAACACCCCCTTAATTTTTAAAGAAATCTCCGGGTGAAAAGTCAAATACACCCCTTTTTTACAATTCTCGGGCCGGACTTTGTCGCACGAAAAGTACCCCTTTACCGGACATTTTGGCAACACGCATGCGGTCATTCCGACCTCTGAGTGGGGGGGCCGGGGTTGTAGGCCTTCTGTTTTCGACTCTTTATTCTTGTCTGAATTCAGTTTCCCCCTCCCGCGCGAAGTGCGTAAGCTTTGACATTTCATTAAACTATAATAGAGAAAGAAGACGATTTGTTGTACCCACTTTTAATCATTGTCTGAATTTTCAAAAATGTTTTTTTTTCCAATAAAAAGTCAGTTGGTAGGGGAAAAAACATAATTATCTATGCCTTGCGTACCTTTCTTGAACCCTCGACGTGGGGTCTCCACCCAACATCCCCCTCTCTCTTACTCCCAACACCCCTCTCTCTCTCCTCTCTTTCATCCCCCGTTTCTTTTGTTTCCCTTTTCTCTTTTTTTTCCCCTGTTCTCCTGTTCTTTCTTCTTTTTTTTTCTTTCCCTCTCATTTTCCCCTCCCCCGTTTCTCATTGTTCCCGACAGCAGCGAAATTTTACCGACAATATCCAGGGGCGGATCCAGGAAAAATTCCCGGGTCAGGGCACACGGGGGGAAAGAGGACATATAGTCTATATATATATATTTTTTTAGTCCCCAAAAAATCGCAACGACTCAGCCAGCCGCTGAATAAGCTGGGGAGGGGGGGGGGGGGGGGGGGGGTTAGGGCACATATTTTTTTTATTTTGGCGGGGGGGGGGGGCTCGTCCCTGTTTGTCAGTACATTTTTGGCAAATTTGGGGCTGATTTCAACATTTTTGGGGGGCACGTGCCCCCTGTGCACACCCCCTGGATCCGCCGCAGATATCCTGATAGTTCAGGGGAGGGGGTGTCGCACTCCTACCACCCCATTACCGACGCCTTCGTTTGTTATCCCATTTAAAAGAAATCCTCTCTTCTATCGTTTAATTCTCTTTCATTTGTTTTCCTTTCTTTGTTTTTGTCCTTTTTTGGGGGGGGGGGGGGGGGGTGGGCTACAATCCTGGCAAGAGGGACCCCATATTATGCACACTGCAAAATTGCGTGCCAAAAAAAACCCACCTTTTTATAACATCATCCCCCTTTCTTTCTTTTCCCTTCTCATTATTCTCCTTTTCCGATCTCCTCCGTATTTCCCAATTTTCTCTCCTCTCTCTCCCCTTCCCCTCCTCTGGGCCTCCTCCCTCTTTTCTTCTTCTTTCTCTCTTCCCTTTTCTTTCTTTTCCCCCTTATTTGTCTCTTTTTCTCCTTTTTTCTTTTTCCTCCTTCCCCCCCCCCTTTTTTTTTACCGGGGGGGGGGGGGGGGGGGGGGGGGGGGCACGTACCCCCTGTGCCTCCCTGAACCCGCCACTGATACTTGTGGGTGGGAACTTAAGATTGATTGCATGTCTGTGCTAACTACGTTTTTGGTATCATTTCATTCTCTTTGTTGTTGTTGTTGTGGAGAGTGGGTGAATGGGACACATTAACAAATCAAATCATAAAAATGTAATAAATGCATGAATCACAAGAATAAATCCAGTAACAATCAAGACATTAATAATAAGGCGGGTCTGCACTACCTGTAACTATACTTGCGCCCTCTATATAGCAAACAGTTCCTAATCGGTGACCACTGGTCCCCCATGATCCCATTTTTCTTATGTCAATTGAGAGCTGATTTGATGAATGGGTGGTCTAATCCCTCCTGGCCAAACTAGTGCAGACGAGCTTTAATAACAATCTGCATCTTTATCATTATACAAATTAATCCAACTGTCCTTGCTGTAGAAAAAAAACTTACCATGACAAACGCTAAACACTGTGCACAATGCTCTATTTCATGTTTAAAAAGTCATTTTATTGTGTTTATAACTTGTGTCCTTAAACACCAATACACACTTCACAAAAGTATTTTCATGATAGAATGTAAACTAATACATTGCATAAAAGACCTTGATGACACTCTTTAAAAAAAATCATTGTTAAATAAACTTGTTAAAAACTAACTACTGTAGAAGACAGTATAACCAAACATTTCTTATAATGAATGCATGATACATTGTAGATAATGGAAAGCCTTTAGTACATGTATTATTTGTATCTAAACAAGATCACAAAGAAGTGTTATTACTATCATTATTATTGTTGTTTAGAAGTTCATTACCTGATACGGTATGTATACAAATTTACCTTTCAAATTACACTATGAAAGAAGACCATGTTTTCAAAATGAAACTCCTAACTCCTCGATCATAGGTTTCTACATTTATATTTACACAGTCATCATAAACTGAAGGAAAAAAGAAAAGAAAATTAAATGACTAGCTTGACTTATGAAACTCAGACTTTCATGGAATTCGGACTGATAATACTTTCTGAATAATACATTGTGATTCATAATTCATCAGTGCAGGATGAACCTGTTCTCCCTTGAATACTGACCTTCTTTGAGCATGCATTGCAAGCATGTTATTATTGCATATCTTACATCACACAAATTGGCAAGAAATTTGGGCATGTTTTATTTAACAATTACCCGTTAAGTATTTGCTTTACACAATATCATGGACCCAGTACATGAAGTTGCAATATGACATTCTATGATTTAGTCTTGGATGATATTTCAGATGAAAAAGTATTAATATTTCTCTTAACATGCAAAATAAATATTTGTATACTTTTACTTTTACATGGCAGTTGTGATTAAAAATTAGAAAAAATATATATTTATACATCTACGCTGTATATAGTATATAACACCAATCTAAATGCCACATGAGTTGCTTACATAGAGTTGGTATTTAGAAAATGGTCTTTCACAGGAGCTACACAAATGGAGTTAATTGTACATGCCAATATTAAGTACAATACAGTAGCAATATCATAGTAATAAAAGTTTGAAGTGGAATATCTTTTAACTGGTAAATAATTTTTTTTTAATCAATGAACAACATGATTTAAAATATCTTATATTTGATAACTTATGATAAGCAGAATCAAAGAGTGATTAGCAAAGTCTACTGAAGTACAAATAAATCTTTCATAACCTACTCTATATTTTACAACACATACCTTGCATTAGTTTGATCAAAGGAAGCACATACATGTACACAAGCACCAAAAATCTCACACATTTAGAGCTACTTTGCAAAGTTTGCAATATGGAAGAAATTAAGCCTCTTCAGCCTTGTTCCCAAATGACAAGGTAAAACAGCTACGAAATACCTACAAAGAGATATTATCCTGGATAAAAAAAAGAGACATAATAAAGTGGAATGTGTCTCTCACATTTGAGTACCCTCTATGATATAATTCACACATGAGAATGCACAGGTATCTTTGTTTCAGACAGACGCTTTTTTTCTCACCCCCAATCGCCAACTCATATTTTGCCATTGTGGTTTACCATATTGTGTGTGCTTGAGTTTGAGAATGAAATGATAAAGACAACACATATTCAACATATACAAGTAGAGTTAACCAGATCCCATAGTCAAGAATTTCAGAATCATGATTTCTTCTGGAAAAATAAACCTTAAAACAAAACAAACAATCTCAAAAGTCAAATAGGTAATCAATGTTAGATTTGTAGTGGACTGCTCATACACAAGATCATTTACCACTATATACATTGTGAAAAAAGAATTAGTTGTACATGTATGACACTAATTGTAAACCACTATTTAAAGACTTCTATCCTTTACATGTTCAGAACTTGCATGCCTAGAATAAGTGAGTAAAATACAAGCAATTATATAAACATTTTTGTTGCTTTCTTTGCCTCTCTCTGCACGATTGCTCGTTTGCCAGACATGCAGTCTTGCACAAAATCATAGGCACCAAATGAGGGAAGGATTGCAACGTAATTGCTTTTAAAAGTTACCCATTTCCCATCTTGATTAGCTCAATGACAATCCTTTCGACAATGTTATAGATTTATTTTGCACTAAAAATTATCAAATAACCTCGAAGCCTTTGGTATATCTATCACATGATAAATACAATGTGGCACAGGGAGATAACTTGCGTGGCATTAATAAAGGGTTAATGTAAATATTTGTTTTCTTCTTTTTACAAGATAATGGACTAATAGTACAAACTTGAAGAATATGTCAAACTTGTTAAAAAGGATATCATAAAAAAGAGCCGCTGGTGTGACAAAAGTCCACTTTAAGACCCCATTTAATAATTAAATGATGAAAACTGAATGTGCACTGAGATCTCTAAAGGTACTGCAGGTGTTCATTATTTATATTGGGTCAGTAATGGATAAGAGTTCTTAGTTGTTGATTTTAAGCTGCCTTTTTATTGATCTAGCCACTTTATACTTGTACTTGAATCTTTTGATTAAGAATGTAAGGAAAGTCAACCCTGAATGTTTAAAGGCAGGGTAGTCTACTGCCACTACCTGAGACTTTACACAATCATACTGCCATTCGCTACTCACAATGTCCCTATGCATTAACTGAAATGCCCCACAATGCATCATCAACTGATGATGCCAACATGATGAGTCATTGGTACAGGAACTGGAAATCGCTCTATATATACACCTTCACTGAAAGATGACGCAATTGAAAATACATTAAAGCAGTGGTAGCGATGCTAGTAAATAACCTGCCTATAAAGAAAAATTATGAATAGCTCTGCAGGAAAATGTCAACTTGTTTATTACTGGTATTACATTTTTTGACACATTGTCCAAAGGGTAAATGAGACCTGACCTAGGCAGCAGGTATCTTAATATGAAGGAGAAGTCAAAGGTATCTGATAATTTTTGTGTTCCGTAAAAGGTGTACACATATGACAGAAAATTTAACAACACACAAGTATTACTTTCATCATTTTCCTTAACATTTTGTCTGGTCCATTTGATAATTTTCAATCTTGTATTGTGTAGTACAATATTGTGTTATTTCTATTTAGAAATTAAGCCCAGTTTATCTGGCTCAATAGATTTTGAATTGGGTCTTTGAAATAATAAGTGAAATTATATACATCTGGGATGTTTGCAAGAGTACATAAGTGCCAAACTTTTTAAGACAACTGGAACAAAACCCCTGCAGAATGGCACAAGGTAATGTCTTTTTGAACCTTTTAGAACCCGACAAATGTGTACAATTAGTATTGATTGTTTTCTGTAAGTTAAATTACAAGACCTGTGAGCTGGCTGTTTTTTCACTTTTAATTGATTACGATGCTATTCAGCTGATCAGATGCTCTGTATTCTACTTTAGTTCACATAAAACAGAGACATTACACACGATCCTTTACTGTCTGTTTAAACTACAAAACAAAGGAGAGCTTTTCTTCCTTTAAACATTCCCATAACGTCTAGCAATCTGGAAGTCCCCAGTAGTATCATGCACATAATACTTCTCCCAGATGAGAGTGTGTTGAGAGTTGTGACCCCATGGTTTGAAGCGACCGTTCCAATGAAGCAGCTTAGCGGCCTTTAAGAATGCATCTGAGTATCGTGCACCGGTAGTAACACCTGATGGGATCAAACACAAGCACCAAGATCCAATAAGCATTGAAAGTGTTTACAGGTTAGAGAGTGTTTAATTTAGCACGAGGTGAAAAATACTTGGGGAATGTCCTAAGGTCCAATGGAATAAATGCTCTGAAATGCTCTGAAATGCTCTTGAAATGCTCTGACCTTTCAAAAAATGACTACAAATTGTTTACAACTTACGACCGGCACTTCTGCTTGGCAGCAAGGTTGGGTTAACTACTTATTATTTGGATGATTCCCATCCATACAATACACGATTCTGTGTACCAAATATGTACATGTAGTACCACATAATCAGTCATTCCCATTTACTTCCACAATGCAGTAAATATCTCTATGACCATAGAATTAACTTCTAATTTCAGGGAATTTAGCCAAAAATGAATTTTGTATTCTCAATATCTACATCATAATGATTATAAGTATCCAAAATACAAAATTCTTTCTTAGATAATTCATAGTCAATAATTAATGATAATATTTTGCTTTTATATAGCGTTTTAATACGATGTCTCTAAGCGCTATAAAAATATATTATTACCCCTGACTATTTCTAAAATACAGAAACAGATGATAACTATTTGTTTCCCCTTTAGTTGAAAATGAAACATTTGTAGCCGACCCCCCCCCCCCCCCCCCACCAAACAACGAATAAGTAGAGGATCATGCCCCTAATGCAAGTAGCTCTAGCTAGATGGGTATTCAACTCACCTAGATGACGGATGTGCCATTCAGGAGGAAGAGGTGAATACTTCATGTAGAACACAATCATCATTGGAGGACCAGAATGACCACCGCCACGTTGACTTCCATACACATCCTCTCTGTAGAAACAATCACAAATAAACAAGAGTTTTAGGGATTACTTTACATTTCTCTACCTCCCTGGTTGGTCACTGGTCTATTTTTTATCTCTAATAACTTTAATGTAAAGAAATATCTTGATAATCAGACAGGCGATCGGCTTGTAAAAGTCATGGGAATCCTGACTGACCAAAAGGTTTATAATTATGATTGCAGCATGAGCGAAATCCAGGATTTTTGTTTAGAATCTGTCTTGATTATGCCAAATCATTATAACAGCAGTAATCTTGGCGTTACAAAGCAATTTAGACTTACTTTGAGTTGACTGTAACCCAGTAGTCTAGCTTGGCTGTGATATTCTGTTTCCTCCATTCATCTACATTAGCTACAAAGACACCCGGATTAAAGGAACATTCCATTGGGTTGATACCAAGAGATTGAAGCTTCTCATTCCCAAAGTTCAAGTAGCTGGCATACCGGTTCTATAATCATATCAAATACAACAAAGGGTCAATTTCATCATTGATTATACAGTCAAACCTGTCGATAGCGACCACCTAAGGGAAACACAAAAAGTGGCCTTTGTAGACAGGTGGTCACTAAAGCAGGTTCTCATTCCCAAAGTTCAAGTAGCTGGAATACCGGTTCTACAATCATAGAAAATACAACAAAGGGTCAATTTCATCATTGAGTATACTAACGATTTCCACTGTTATTGCAGTACACAGACACAAAAAACAACAACTAACAAACACATCAACAACAAGAAAACACATGAAAAGTGTCTTGTTGTTTTTACCTGCGACTTAAACATGATTTAGGAAATAACTAGGCCTTTAAAACACCTCCCAATTTCTTAAGATGGACCAAAGCCTCACTCTTTTGACCTTGAATTGAAATTGAAAGAATTGAAGAAACCATTTGAAATTTGTATGTAACACCTTACAGGCATATTTGATTTTGACAAAAATGGTTTCAAAATGTGCTTAAGACTTAAAGGTATATAAACAAATAAATCAACGTTTTTTTTTCCTCAGCAACATCTGTAGGTAGGTGTTAATTTGACATAAAAAAGTTTAAGAACATCAAAACATTTCAGTTTGCTTGGCTGATAGAAGAAAACTTGATGTAATTCAGGTATAAATGGATCAAATGTCAAAGTGGAAATGAAAAAGCTGTTCATACCATAATAACACCATATCTTGAAGTGACAGCACTGCAGTCATCTGAAAATGCTACCACATGCCCTGGTTTGATATCAATAGCATTTAACTCTGCGATATCACCCTGGGTGATTGTATCGCTATCGACGAAGATCACACGTCCAGTCAGACCAGGGAATATCTTGGGGAAGTACAAGCGGGCATAGTTCAGCTGTACAATGGACACAGGATCAAATGCAAGAAAGAGAATTGTTATGTACAGGGGAACTTATCTTCATCATCATTTTAATTTTTTTTAATCACAAAACCTTATTTTTATTTCTTAGTACCCTATGTCCTTAGATAATATTAAAAATAACATGTTCAAAAAGATTGATACAGTATTTTGTCTAGGTCTTTATCAACAGAGAAGCAACATACTTTATTTTTATGACATATCCTTTCATATGTGCTATGAATAATTGGTAGCATATCAGTGAATAGCTACAAAACTTCACTATTTCATGTTTGCAGATATGAATGGGCTTAGCTCAGAAAAGGTTTAGATCTGGAAAGACCATAATCATAACTAGAAGGGAGAGGAGGTACAAAAAAGTATTTTGATTTTTAACTTACCGGTGATCCCAATTCTGTTCTTTTATCCTTCAAAACTATTTTATCTTTGACCCAAGACTCATCAAAAACTTTGATGGTGTAGTCTAGCTTTCTCAAACTGGACTGACTGAGCCATTTGCTGAAGAGAGAGAGAATTACAGAAAAAAAAATCATTACATCATATACGATATAAAACAAGATGATAAAAAGTCAGGAGAACATTAAATACAGACATCCTAAAGCTTCTAGACTTACATTTATGAGTAAAAGGTAAGATCAACCAAGACCCAAATTCAACAATATACAAATAACATGGCAATTCAGTTAAGCAGGGCTCCACACTAACCTTGTTTGGAAGGGGTTCCGGATTCAAAATAAAAGTTAAGGCAAACAAACCATGCCCCATAAGGTAAAAAGCTCTGAATGCCTGTCGCATATAATGTATACATTGTATGTATAATGCGAGGTTCGTCTTGATTTCTAGTCAGATTACCATGTCCAATGGCTAAAATTACACCAAAACAAGATCAGGCCACGGTATCTATGCAGCTTCAAGCAGGTGCATGAAGTCCTTTACTCTATAGAGGAGTTGGTACCAAGACCAGCAGAACCTATGTTTACTTATTATGCTATTTATGAACAAAAGTTTGCAACTATCTTTTCTATCTATTTTTCGCCTGATTTGTTTCTTTGAATTCCTGTGTATATTGCTTTACAGTTGTTCTTTGTTCGTTCTTGTTCTTTTTTTCAGCTCAAGATGTCTGCTTCTTCTTTGAGAGTTTCTTCATCTTTTGCTCTTGACCACTTTAAAACTTCCAGATAAATCAACCATTCTGTAAAATCCAACATAAAAAAGGAAAGTCCTAACTTTCATCTACCTTAGATGATCCAAAGAATCTGTATCAACCACCAGATAGAACTTGATATGTGTCCTAGAATTGAGATAGATGCTATTCATAGCTGCAACCATCCCTCCAAGAGTGGAACCATCTGAACAGATCAAGACATTGATGGTGCCATTGGATGAACTATTCTTACTCAGGTCACGCTGCACACTGTGTCGAGTCTCATGGTTGACATCTGAGCAGTTTGAACATGAAAGAAAGAAAACATTCTGCTTAGTAAACAGGTATGTTTTTGTATAAAGTTAAGTAATGACATCAAATCACCCACATCCCAAGTAAACTGTCATATCCAGAGAATATTTAAAGGCTTTTTATTCAAAGAAGAAAGTTTCTATCGCACAAAAAAGTACACAATTTTTTCCAGATACAGGAGCGAGGTTTGAACAGACTACAGTGTAGCTGGATAGTAAGAAAAATGGGTAGAAGTAGAAATTTAGAAAGTGTGATTGATGAGCTGGTATTGGATAAAAGACAAGTCCTAATTTTAAGGCCATTTTATCTGCAAGAGACTTTGCTCCATATCTTGCAGTTGGGTACTAATTCACTATCGATTCCATTACTGTAGACAAACTTCATACATGAACCTGTATACCCATGCAGGCATGGTTGTACAATGTGACGCTGCATATAAATAATGCCATCTTATGTACCACAGGGGTGATAGTGAGCACTAAAAAAAAAAATAGGTTTTTTGTTTTCCCCTCAACCACGCCCCCCTTGGGTACAAAGAAGAGGATTCGCTTGGAAAAAATGGCATGTATCAACATTCCCGCCTTTCAAGTAAAAAAAATTTGGACAAAAATAGGGCAAAATAGGGAAGAGTAGAGAAAATAAGAGGGAAATCAGGAAAATCAGGATAAAATATGGAAGAAGAAAACAAATTGGTAAAAAAAAAAAAAAAAAAATCTGGATTTTTTTTTTTTTTTAAATTTTTTTAATAAATCGGGAAGAGAAAAAAAAAATCGGGAAAAAATAGGGAAAAATAAAAAAAAATCGGGAAACCAATTTAAATCGGGTTTTTATCAGGCCTGGTACCAGTATTGACCTGAAAGAGCTACATGTATAATGGCCATCACTGAGGTTTGGCCCCCCCCCCCCCCTTCTTCCAAATCTTTCCTAAATGTGAATTGTTGTTCCTTTCTTGTTATACTGCCATGGTAAATTCTGAGTCACATGCAAAAACCAACATTATGTTTTAACTTTTTGCATTCATTAACCTGGCCAGACTTAAAGAGATGGAAGAGCTCTAGGGAGAGGTGAAGAAAAGAATTGTGAGCGTTTTCATTGTTATTATGCATGTGTGGAACAAGATCAGAGAAAAATGGCTCTTTGAATGCCTTCATATTCTAAATATGACATGTAAATGATGGAACAGCTTGAAAATAAAGATCTCATTGGGCTCATTTTTAAGCCACACGTTTGTGCAGTCCCATATACTTCTTTCTGTGTACAGTTGCTTGTTACTTTTACCAAGACTGGGAAATATTGAAGGCATTTCAAGGAATATTTTTTTCTCTAATGTTCTTCGATACTCGAATGATAACGCTCACAGATTATTTTTCTCCCCTCCCCAGAACTCAACCTTCTCTTCAAGTCAGTGTGACACAGATCTGATCGAGTCCAGACTTCAAAATATTTGTCTCTTTTTAAAATAAGACAAAGCTGTGTATTTCTGGAGTACAATAGCTTACAAGTTGATTGATATCAGCAAGTAATAGAGCAAATTTTGAGAGCGTAGAATATATGATTTGACATTACCTTTGATCTCAGGCACTGCATCTGCAGAGGTGGACCTTGGAACGTGGAAGTAAAGCACGTAGACCATCAGAGCAACCAGACATATCGTTATGACTACATCAGAACAAAAAACAAAACAAGTGAAACATAATAACTACCAATCAAATGCCACATACTGGAACTTAGAAGCCCCCAATTGACACCCTTGTACTAGTTACAACTAACAAGAAGAAATAAACAATAAAACAAATAAGTGATAGACCTTTTTGATGAACATGATATTACAATGTATGTACCTTCAAGTTTAACCAGAGTCCTGTACTACTAATTTGCCTAAAATATTGAACAGACTGCAGTATTGACAACTCCCGTGAATGATACAGAGGAGTCTACTACCTGTATTTTTCAGCGGTCTATTTACGGTTCAACCTCATGCATTGTAGGAGTGATTGAATGAGTGTGTGCACTCCAGCAAAGCATTAGAGTCGAACATGCTAATGCGTATTGACCTATAGTATAGCGCTGCGCTGTAGGCCTAGTACTACATCCTGAGAGGCAGCAATTACACACACTACACATATTACACACAAATGCACACAATGAATATGATGTGGCTGATTGGTAAGTTTGACAGTAGACTCACAGTCACAATTTGAATTTTTAAAATATTCTTTCTAACAATGAATGCATCGGTAAGTTGAAAAGATTGTATTTTACTGCTATTTATTTAGGTGTCATCACAATTGCAATTGTCACTTAACTTAGACCCTAAATCCCTAGAATAATAGATCAATTAGGAGTCTAGACTAGAAGTCGCCTACCGATTTTGCGTGAACTCTTTTGTACAGTGGTGTTTGAAATGTTGAGAATCAAAAGAACAGTTTTTAGTACACAGCCAGGATGGTAATGCAGCTAATGTGTGAGCGTGTGTAGCTTATTTCCCACGGACAGTTGCAGCATGGTACATGCTAGACCGAAAGCTTCAGTCTCTATAATCGTCGGTTGTTCCACTGAGACTACGTCTGGCTCCACTAGACCTCCGGTTATAGAGACAGAACGATCGCCTATGCCAGCCTATGTTGAACTTATTCCGCTAGATTTTAGCCGCTAGGCCCCTCCCACAAACTTGCCACGGCCGTATTGTTATGCCCCCAAAATCCCCCAAAATGTCATTTTACCTCGTTCATTTCCAATTTTAAATTAGGCCTAGGCTATAATACATCGGTTCCACTTACTAACTTCATTGATATAATCCGTTTAATGGTCCCTTTTAAGGAAATTATCGGTCAAAATCGACATCCATGTTGAAAATCTTGCAAGCCGTGTTAAACTCTCGCTGCCGTCAATCTCATCCTTTCTAGTCTACGCCGAAGGCAAAATGATTATGAAGGAAAAACTGTGATAACGCCATTACGAACGTGTAGATGGCGCACAGTTTTTCCTTCATAATCATTTTGCCTTCGGCGTAGACTAGAAGGGATGAGATTGACGGCAGCGAGAGTTAAACACGGCTTGCAAGATTTTCAACATGGATGTCGATTTTGACCGATAATTTCCTTAAAAGGGACCATTAAACGGATTATATCAATGAAGTTAGTAAGTGGAACCGATGTATTATAGCCTAGGCCTAATTTAAAATTGGAAATGAACGAGGTAAAATGACATTTTGGGGGATTTTGGGGGCATAACAATACGGCCGTGGCAAGTTTGTGGGAGGGGCCTAGCGGCTAAAATCTAGCGGAATAAGTTCAACACAGGCTGGCATAGGCAGTCGTTCAGTCTCTATAACCGGAGGTCTAGTGGAGCCAGACGTAGTCTCAGTGGAACAACCGACGATTATAGAGACTGAAGCTTTCGGTCTAGGTACATGCTCCCTCCAGATATATCATTGGTTTCTGCAACAGCAGAAACCTTCCAGGGCCAGGGAGCCCTATTCCAGAAACGCCATTGATGGCTGAGAATCGTTTTTACTTGCACCTTGTACCTTTCCAGACATTTCAACCTTGACGTTATATCCTGACTTATGGATCCTGTCAAGTACGGACGTAGAAGCAGAAGTTACTCAGTTACTAGCTAGCTTCCTTGATTTTATTGCTTGAATTTTGATGAGGTTTAGACAAACTTTTAATCTAGATCTAACGTTAGAGGTCTATATTGTGTGCGCCCTGCATAGATCTAGTAGTACAGTGTAGGATTAGGAAACAGAAATGAAAATAAATCACTCACATGTTGTAACGTGGATACGAGCCATCTTCGAAAATTAGATTTGGCTTAGATTCCAATGAATTTAGTTTGTTTTTCTCTGACTCGGCTCCAAAAAATGAACACGTCGATAGTCAATTGCTCAAACCGCTCAGCTCAGCTCCCTGCAATATTGTCGATATCCGGGACTACGGAAGTCAAACTGACGCATCAGCAAAACTCATGTTTGGAAGCCCTCCGTCCGCCAAAAGCCAGCAAAACTTCCCTTGATTTAGGCCCTACACAGAACGTATAATTTATGCGTAGATATGCATAACAGGATTTTTCTGTCAACTTGTAGAGGTCGAACAGTGTATTATTGAGTCTCAGTTGGGCGCTGTGCCTACGTTACCCTTGGCCTACCAATTTTTACCAGGCTCGTCTCATTTTTTGTGTGGCCGTACCGTTGATACGACGTGGCATGAATAAGCGCATGAAAAGCGAATAGATAAATACCGTTCATAAACATTGCGTACGTCGGCTATGCATTGTGGATACTTCGTTCGGATTTTTGTCTAAATACCTCGCACAAGCGAGCTCTTGCCAAAACTCACGTACCCGTCTGGGTTCGAGTCTTGGCCGTTCCACACGCGCCATCCGACAATTTTTGACACTATTTAGAAAAACTCAAATCTCATTATCCTCCAGGAATATTGACATGAAATCAATTTCAGTGCAAAGATATTGCTCTGGATGATTTTGATAAGATCGAGAAACTATTATTGGCCCGCAGAGCATTTTTGTATATTTTTTTATGTGGATGACATGGTCACAAGAGATGTGCTCCTTTTTATGAATTGTCTGAGATTTTCGTACCACCTCCCCCCCCCCCCCCCCCCACACACACACTCCTTAGAAATGCCTTAGACCTTTTAAATTGGTAGGATTTGTGTTTTACCTGTGCTCTTTCTATAATGAACTTCGGCAGAAACTTGCGCGTTGAAACTTTTGGCTGAAATCTGAAAAGAAGATTATATATTATCCTTCAATGGTGATTAATATAACGCCAACAACAAGAATGATAATAGTAGTGACCATGATGTTAATCATAGTTTAATTCATTTTCTTTGTGCACTTGATTGATTGATTGATTGATTTTTATTCGACAAGCTTCCAACATACAACAATATACAATAATAACAGATCAAAAAAAGTCAGCTTGAACAGGATAACCCACGAAAGCTCGAGAGCTTATTTCCAGTGGGGTCCCTTACAGACATGTATAAAATTAATAAGTTAAAATAGTAATATTTACAGACAGATAAGAAAATTAAAAGAACTACTTATTAAAGATAATAATAATAACAACATTAAACTGATGATAGAAATGATATTAAGTACAAGAAGAAAAAGAAGAAGGAGAAGAAGAAAAGGAGGAGAAGGAAGAAGAGGAAAATAATGATGAATTTGTAGAATTTCTATAACGTACGAAAACATAAGTATATACAACATGAAAAAGTATGAACCGACAGAAGAATAAAAATTTCAATCATATAATATGTCATTCACTTCTCTTCTCTGACTGTCAAGTATTAGGTATTCCTTTAATTTCCTCTTAAAATGATCATAGTTTCCTATTTCTTTTACACCATTGGGAAGGGAATTCCAATGTTTTATGGCATTGTAATAAAACGAATTTCCAATACTACCTACTCTTTCAAGTAATTTAAAGTTGAATCGTCTATTTCTTGTATTATAATCATGTACGTCAGTAACAAGATCGAAGTTGGATCGAATATAATGATTCGACCTAGTATGATATATTTTATGCACATGATGCAATACGAGTTGTTTTGATCTTTGGTCGACTTCAAGAAAACCAGCTTTAGAAAGTTCGCTGTAGCCAACATGAGTTCTTGGACCAGAACAGTTGATAAATCTCACCATTTTGTTCTGTATAATCTTCAACTTCTTTTGATCTGACTTGTTTATGTTACTATACCATGCAGGGTTAGTATTATGTTCTTATAAAAGACCAGTTGGAGAGCTTTGATTGAACTAATAAGTTGTATAGCTTTATTGAGGCTCTGTGTCAGTCAGACATCTTTGTAGCATCTCTTGTACAAGTACTCATTGTTTCATAACATGACCTGGCATGAGTCATGGGTTGCAGGTCATTCTATATTTAGTTATACATGCTAGTCTGTATTTGCAGACTCTGTTAAACTACATGTAGCTATCACTACACCTCCCTTCTTTAAAAGCTAGAGGTTTACATATACATATATAAAACTTCTTAAACTGTACAGAGTGACAGGGTGGACTACCTGTACACTCGCGACTGTACTAGGGCATTATTCTGTCCCTTAAAGCTGGAGTACTGTCGCTTTCAAATATATAACTTATTACGCGACAGTCCATATCTTTCAAGGTTGCGATTCGCGAAACTGGAATTCTCCGTTGAGGTTGAGTGATATCTGTTGATTTTTGTAATCAAAGTGACTGATTAAATCCGGTTATATTTTTAAGCTATAACATGCAAATATATATATCATGCTCATGCAATCCTGCAGTTATGTTTTAAAGTCCAAGTTGAACTCTGTAACTATAAACTATTTACAAAACGCGAAAGTCTTTCTCTGTAGTTCGCTTTCATTTATTTACAAGTTCAAGCGATCTGGCGGTTTAATAACTCGTCCGCTTCTGGTTCTGGTTGATGACGTAGTTGAGCTTTCTTCAGATGCTGGTTGCTCTGTAGCTTCTGCAGTGTCATCTAGCTCGAAGTCATCCTGTGTTGGTAGTGGAATAGACTCGGCTTGTTGTTGACGTGGGACTGGCCTGAGGTGACGTCTCTTTCTGCGACGCATCTCTCCTGTTTCTGTCTCGATCTGGTATGATCTGTTTCGATCCTGGACAGACCTGACAATACCACGTTTCGACCAGGTGTTGGTTTTCATGTCTTGGAGTATGACATGATCTCCAGGCTTTAGCTTTGACAAGTCTCGAGCATGTTTGTCGAATCGCTCTTTTTGCTTCACCTTATGATCCTCCTTTCTTCCCCTCACTGATCGAGTATTGACCTGTTTTGGTCTGGACATTAGGCATGAAGTACAACTTAGGACCATTTCAGTGATGTCTGTGTTGATTCTGGGCCAATAGATGACTTCTCTAGCACGTTTCTTACACTTCTCGATGCCTAAGTGTCCTTCATGGATTTTGTTTAGCATGAACCTTCTCATAGTAGTGGGAACCACTATTTTGCTGCCTTTGAAGATGATGCCATCTGCGCTTCAGAGAGTTCACTCCTGATGTTCCAGTATTCCCTGACTCTTACTGGACATTGCTGCTTCGTTTCCGGCCAACCATCTCTGATGATGCCTAGCAGCTCTTGCAGTTGATCATCTTTCTTTGTCTCTTCGACAATCTGATTTCGTTTGTTTGATGTAACTGGCATGCTCTTGACAATAGCATCTACGTAGACTCTGATATCCTCCTCAGTTTCAGCATTCAACTCAGCCTTTGGATCTACTGCTCTGGACAATGTATCAGCAGTATACATGTACTTTCCAGGCGTGTACAAGACCTTGAGATCATATCTCTGTACCCTGATGAGTAACCTTGAATGCGTAGGGGACAGTCACCCAGTGACTTTACAAACAGTGGAATAAGTGGCTTGTGATCAGTCTCCACTTCTACTTGTTGTCCATAGATGTATTGATGGAATCTTTCACATGCGTATGTGATTGCCAGCAATTCTTTCTCGATCTGTGCATATCTAGTCTCTGCATCAGTCATTGATCTAGATACATATGCGATCGGAACCCAATCTTGATCATATTGCTGTAGTAGCACTGCACCAATACCATCCTTTGATGCGTCTGCTGACAGCTTGGTTGGTTTCTTGCTGTCATAAAAATGTAGGACTGCATGGCTCTTGTATCAGAGCTTGTTTCAGCTGATTCCATGCATCCTCTTGTGCATGATCCCATGTCCATACATTCTTTTTGTCTAGTAGATGTCTCAGCGCTGCTGACTTGGTCGACAGATCTGGAATGAACTTCCCTTGGTAATTGATCATCCCCAAGAACCGTTGGACATCTTTCCGACATTTCGGTCTCTCAATGTTCAAGATAGCAGACACTTTCTTTGGATCAGGTTGGACTCCTTGATCACTGATCAAGTCACCAATGAATGTGAGCTTCTTGACATTGAACTCGCATTTGTCTTTGTTCAACTTGAGATTCATTTTTCTCACAATGCTGAGAACCTCTCTCAACCTGTCATCATGCTCCTGTTGGGTAGTTTCCCATACAATCACATCATCCATCATTGTGTTAACTCCCGGAATGTGTGCAAACAGTTGGTGCACTATCTTGTGATAGACTTCCGGAGCACTACAAATACCAAAAGGTAGTCTCAAGAACTTGTACCTTCCGTATGGCGTGATAAACGTACAAAAATTGGAGCTTTCATCATCTAGTTGGATCTGCCAAAAACCACTAGACGCATCTAACTTGCTGAAGTATTTGGCTCCTGCAAAATGTGCAGTTATTTCAGCTCTTGATGGCAATTGATAGTGTTCTCTTTTGATTGCTCGGTTCAGGTCTCTTGGATCTAGACAGACCCTGAGCTGACCGTTCTTTTTCATCACCACCACGAGAGAAGAAACCCAATCAGTTGGCTCATCAACTCGTGTGATTACGTCCATTCGTTCCATCTTATCTAACTCGTCTTTGAGTTTATCTTTAAGTGGAAATGGAACTTTGCGACATGCATGCTGAACAGGATGTGCGTCCTCTCTCAATGTGATGTGGTGTTTACCAGGAAGACAACCTAGACCTACAAACACATCTTGATAGTCTTGAACTACACTTTTACCTGTTACGTGTTCAGTTTGTTTCTCAACATGATACACCCGTTTCACCAGATACAAGTCTTCACTCGTCCGTAATCCTAACAAAGGCTGACGATTTCCAGGAATGACTATAGACATGGCACATTGCGTTTGATCCCTTTGTACTCAACTTGTACACAACAACGACCTTTGACCGGGATATCTGTCTCATAATAACCTGTCAACATCACTTTGGCTCTTTGTAGCTTTGGTTTTGGTTTCAATTTGTGAAATACTGTCTCAGGAAGAAGATTCGCCTGAGCACCAGTATCAACCTTGAAGTCAACCGGCTGGTTATTGACTAGTAGATTAACTATCCATTCATCATTGGATTCTTTTGATTCAACAGAGCAAATCATGAAACCTTCTGAATCTACCTCCAAGTGCTGCAGTTCATTGACCTTGGCTACTGGGGTTTTACAACATTTAGCAAAATGATTCTGCTTACCGCACTTCTTGCATGTTTGACCTTGTGCGGGACATTTGTCTTTGCTATGTCGGTTTCCGCACCTGCTACATGCATCACTTTTAGTACGACCTTGAGGTTCTGACCGTTTTGACTTTGAACCAGGAAATTTCTTCTTAGTCTTGCTGAAAGAA